CACACGCACACGCACACGCACACGCACACGCACACGCACACGCACACGCACACGCACACGCACACGCACACGCACACGCACACGCACACGCACACGCACACGCACACGCACACGCACACGCACACGCACACCACACGCACACGCACACCACACCCACACCCACACCCACACCCACACCCACACCCACACCCACACCCACACCCACACCACACCCACACCCACACCCACACCCACACCCACACCCACACCCACACCCACACCCACACACACACACACACACACACACACACACACACACACACACACACACACACACACACACACACACACTTAGACAGCACATAATATTCGAAGAATATTCTAATAAAATAATTTTCATATATTGAGAATATTCGAAAAGAATATTTTTATATGGTTTGAAGAATGTTCTGAATGTTATTGAAATATTATTTATTAAGTTTCTAGAATATTTTAATGTAACATTTCAATGAATATTCTTATAATATTTATTTCGTTTATAACTAGAACGTTTATGTACCATTCAAAATATTCATGTAAAAATATTCTTACGAACATTTCTTTACCCAATGAATACACTAAAGTTAAGAAAAAGTCAAAATAATTTTATTTTGATTTTAAATAATCATGCATTTTTTCGTGTAACGAAAATTTGATTCCAGCAACATATACTGCTCGTAACGGGAAGATGACTTTGCGTTTGTCCTGCAAATTTAGTACGCGTGAAAGTTCTCAAAAGTTATTATTCGCAAATGTATATGACCCTATGTAATTTCGATGCACCAATGGATTTTTAATAATTTAATAGCCTTTTCATTATTATCTTATTTTTATATACATCTAGTTATATACCCAGTAAGTTTCTATAGTTGCCGCTACGCGGCGATACCAACATCTAACTGAACTCGTATTTAATTTTTCATCATGAACGTACATAAAGGACTAATATACAGGGTAGTCCCGAACGTTCCAGCCAGACTTTGAGATCTTATAGGAAATTTAATTCTGAACAAAAAATTTCCTACCCTGTAAGACACAATATTCCTAAAATATTGTATAAATATTATTAACAGTTAATAATATTTATACAATATCCTAGGAATATTGTGTGCTTATAGGGTATAAACATGGGTCGAAAAATGCTTCCTTAAAAAGTTATCGCTCAAAAACCTCTGATAAAGGAAGAACCAAAGGTGAAAAGAAAATGAAATAAAAAGAAAATGAAACTAAATAAATTTCTTGAAAAAAAAACGATAAAAATAAAAAATAAAAATCTTTTTCTTTCATGAAAATAATTTTTTTTAAACTAATATTTTAGTAATAGCGCGTAATAGTAGAAAATGAATAAAGACGTTTTTCAAGAAATTTATTTAGTTTCATTTTCTTTTTATTTCATTTTTTTTTCATCTTTTGCTCTTCCTTCATCAGAGGTTTTTGAGCGATAACTTCTTAAGGAAGCATTTTTCGACCCATGTTTATAGGAAATTTTTTGTTCAGAATTAAATTTCCTATAAGATCTCAAAGTCTGGCTGGAACGTTCGAGGCCACCCTGTATATGTATGTATATGTATATACAAAGTGTCCCAGACCACCCGTATGCATTCTATTCATGAAACTTTTTTTGTTAATAACTATTTATTAAATTACTAACGATTAAAACCTTTTGAAAGTTATTCCGGAAGATGATCTCAGGAAATGTAAACAGAAAAATATAAACATATTTAGAATGTAACGAAAAGATGATACAAATAGATATAAAATTTCAAAATCGCATATCTCAAGAACGAAGAGAGACCGTTACAAAATTCAAACGGTGTATGACTCAGAATAATGAGCTTTACAACATATATCAAGGTCTTTAGTAAGGTTGTACCTTTACTCCATATTTACCTGAAAGGTCTATTATTGTACATGGTGTCCAAAAATTCTATAAAATTTATAAAACTTCTTTTGTTTATAACTTTCTATTGAACAATGAGCGACGCCTAAAACCTTTGGATGTTACAGGGCAGTGACCTTGACAATATATGTCAAGATCAAGTCATTTGGAGCTGGCTGTGTAAAGGTAAATATTTACCTTCATCAAACTAAAATTTACTTTCACCAAATATCTTTTTCCTTAGGTTGAAAATTCGAAGTTGAAAATTTGTAAGTATATTGAAAATTTTTGTGTTAAAAAACAATTGATTTTAAATCAACCAAAACATTTTATTAAAAGGAAACTTTTTCTTTCAAAAAATATATATATATATATATATATATATATATTTTATATACTAAATATATATACTAAAAGCAAACGTTAAAGTCTTTATTTCTTAAACTTTCATTTTTCACTTGTATTGCTTGATATTTGAGCCAATCATATATAATTATATTATATTTATATGTAACAAATATTTATAAATCTTTAAACTTCATTGATATATACTATAAGATACTATAAGACTATAAGACTATATTATAATAAACTTTATTAATATATTTACATATTAGAATATTTACGTATCTGGATACAGTTTATTGTTAGATAAAAGATTTCGATTGTATGATCGAATTATTTTAACAGTTCAAAGTAGATAATTTAATAATTAAATTTAATAAATAATTAAATTATTTAATAAATAAAGTAGATAATTTAAACAGCTTTTTCGGAAAATTCACGTAGAATTTCTTTTTCAATCTGTCTTCTGAGTCAATGATTGTTTAGAATTCATATATTTTAAGAGTTTACATATTAAGGAAAATTTGTGAACAAAATTAGTAAATAAAATCAAAACATAAACAACTATTTATAATACATTTCCTAATTTTACACAAATATCTAAAGTATAAATAAATAAGAAATAAATAAAATCAATTCGAATAAATTAAATTGTTCGAATCTATCTTCAGCCAAACATTTGAAGATTTGATTTTAAAATTTAAATTGTGTATGTGTTCAAACTATTTGATTATTTGAAAATTCAAAATTAATCAATAGTATAATAATTCGCCTATTTCTTTCTTTATCATGTAATTATCGATATTATTTTAAAATTTAAAATCAATTGTGTATGTGTTCAAACTATTTGATTATTTGAAAATTCAAAATTAATCAATAGTATAATAATTCGCCTATTTCTTTCTTTATCATGTAATTATCGATATAGAGCGATCAATTAACAGCCAAGTGATTCGATGTAAACCGGATGACAGCTAATCGTGCAGATAATTATAGTCACGTTTAACGTCAGCCCGATTACGGCGACTAACATCACGCCACGAGATGAGTGATAATTACGCGTGTCGCAATTTAATGTCATATCCGGGGTGGACTATAAATCTTTTTTATGTACAAGAAGAAAAGTTGAACAACAAATTTTGAATTAAAAAAAATAAAACAAAAATGAACCTTGCAAACAGAACAAATTAAAATATTTGAATAAAGTTTTATTTTTAAAAGATTTTTTGCTAATATTATTTTATTATTTATATTGTATTATTTTATTATTATTTTTATATTATTTTATATTTATTATAAATATTTCACGTAGAAAAAGTAATAGATAAAAAGTACATATTTCTTCAAATTTAAACTTATTTGAATCCAGGAATTACAATTTGTAAAAATGTAGTGCAATTTTGGATTCTTACATAAGTTGCGATATTAATAATGTTTAAAAAATATCTCTAAATAATATTAATTATTATTACGGAACATCAAGCAATTTAGGATCATAATTCTTAAAAAACAAAATTCTATAAGTATCTTCTTCAGGTTTTGTTTCGAGAGAGAAAACACTTTATAATTAATCAAAACTCAAATTTAAAAAAAAATTTCGCGATTTTAAGGGTGCTGTCACATGGCAATCGGAATTTCGGAAAACAGAATCTCGGAAAAGCACTAGAGTGGTGATCAACGAATCAGAATTTTTTTCCAATCCAATTTTTCGATAGCCTCGCTCCCCATGGAGTGATTTTTACGAAAAACGGAATGTTATTCTAACCTCAAATTGTTTTTCAATTTAGAAAATTTGTTTCTTATTTTCTGTTATAATAAACAATACATACAAATGTCACTTTTTTATATATTTTTTATATTGTATTAATTATTTTTTTTGTCGGAAAACTATCAAAATAAATTTTTATATTTTTACTAATTTCCAAAATGCTCCGAAATATTAGTCCAGAGGAAGTCCAGCCACGAAAAAACCGGACCGACAAACACGCAACTTTTATTCTTGACAATACGATAACTATTTTATGTGATAAAATATTTTGATTAAATATTTATATGTACATTAATAAATATTTACCAAACAATTATTTATTAACAATAAAATTCTTCTTATAAAGATAAAAATTCAATCCCGTTTAATTCCTAGTTCTAGTATTCTAGTACTTTTCCGAGATTCCGTTTTCCGAAATTCCGACTGCCATGTGACAGCACTCTAATCCGGAAATCCAGAATTCCGGAATTATATCGAAGATAAACACATTGTCGACAAAACAATCAAATCGTTATAACTAAGGCTAATATTACATTTGTCGTACGACAAATTTTTTAAGCGCATTGATTGGTTGCGGGATAGAAAATTTCTAAAGATTCAAAAAATTATTATCCCGCAGCCAATCAATGCGCTTAAAAAATTTGTCGTACGACAAATGTAATATTAGGCTAAGGCTGTTACTTTTGACAACTTCAAAGATTCTTCGAAGTTAATGTCAAAGCTTCAAAGTTTGTTTTTGAAACTTCATAGCTTCGAATTTCGAAATTAACTTCGAAATTTCGAAGCTTCGAAAAATACATTCTTGCAAATTATAAGAAATATTGAAAATATTGTAAATAAAAATATATCTAAAAAATTATTTAAAAAATAAATTATTAAAAAAATCATTAAAAATCAACTACTGAAAATTTTCAAAATTCAAAATTTTTAGATATTTCATTTTTTTTATACATATTTGCTTAGATCGACAGTTAAATTCAGTAGAATCACCTTTCCAGCGACCGTCATCTCATCCGTGGATTATGAAGCGTAGATCCTTTTCACGTACAAAAAAATATTGCTCGAACGGGAGCGGCAGTGGCAGTGCACTTTTCAATGGCCGGTCAGACAACGACACATTTCTCGCGAATCACCCATGCAAGCACCACGTATAAACTCACTGATCGCTCATATATAATTATATATCACTGATCCCTATATCGAAAATCACGCCGTATATTATTTCGTTCGTTTCGCGATAAAAATGGATGAAAATCTAACTGTATGCGGATGTAAACGCGTGAACGCAAGACACTTCCAATCGACGGCGACCGACAAGTGAATGGAGTGCCTTCACCGCGCGCGACATACCTCCCCTACTACTACACTACCGCATGACCCACAATAGACTTAGCTCGTGATTGTCGCAGCGATCACGTGACCGTTCCGTCCAGGATCGTATGCATAAAATGGGAATCGGCGGTTAACAAGTTAGATATGTAAAAAAAATATCGAGATACTTTCTATCTTTTTAATGTTGTAAAACAAATTTCCTAATTTCGCAGGCAATTCCAGGTAAAGAGAATATTTCAAAGATTTACTCTTACGCAGTGTTTGCTGTAGATAATTTCAAAATTATCTAGATAAAGATAAAGATAAAAATCCGTAAATTTATCTTAGATGAGATAAAGATGATTTTGCTTTTACTTAATCTAAATGAAAGATGAGATAATTATTGCGATAATCTAGATAATTATTTAGATATTTTTGTTTATTTTAGAAGACTATAAATATTTGTAAAAAATGTGACGCAAATTATAAATGGGATATTAAAATCATAAACACATATTCTTTCTCTTTTCCTAAAGAATATTTAAATATTCTTAGCAAAAAGATAAAAATAAATAAATGATATGATAAATATTTATCATATTATAAATAATTATTATAAATAAATAAATAATATGATAAATATTTATTTATTAATTTATATTTATAATATATTTATAATATATTTATAATATATTAATAATATAATAATAATATATTTATAATATATTAATAATAATAATATAAAAAATATATTTTAGACATTTTAGGTAGATTTTTAGAAGCTTGCTTTAGATTTTTGGAAAACTTTTTTGCATAATGAAAACGTCATCTTAGACAATTTTTAGATAAGATGACATATTTTTCATCTAAGATAAAGATAAAGATACTTTGTATTTCTTCATCTAGTTAAAGATAAAGATGATCCATTTCTTTATGATTCTTTAGATGATTATCTAGATAATTTTATCTAGATACCCCAACAAACACTGCTCTTACGAAGGAAAAATACAGAATCATAATTCGATTTGTAAATATTGAGAAAGAGAGAGAGGGAGGGGGAGGGGAGAGAGAGAGACACTGAATAACTTTTGTAAAATAAATATTTTGCATAATTATTTGCATATTTTTATTTTTTTATCTTTAAAAATTATAATGAAGAATATGTACTGCCCAAAGAACACATTGTAGTCAAAATGACGTCATTTTGACGTCATAATTACGTCACAATAGAAGAAATCAAAATGACGATTTTTGGTTACAAAATTTGACGATTTGTTGAAGATTATTAATATACGCTATAAATGGATCATTTCTCATTTATATCCACCTAATTTCAAATAATCTGTTTAATATTTTGAATTCCAACAAGGAATCCAGATTATTAAATAAATTATTTTAAATTTAGTTTATTAGAAATTAAACTGATAAGAGATAAATAGCTGATACCAGGAAGAGAACATTACTCATACGCACACAAGCAGAGAGCTGCTACGTAATTCTCTGATTGTGTGCATGTGAGCATCATCCTCTTTCTGGCACTTATTGCTCACAAAAGGAAAAAAAATATACTATAGATCTTATCTAATGTTTAGCAGCACTTTATCTATATCCTTTATATATATATTCATGATGAAAAATTAAATACGAGTTTAGTTAAGTTTGGTACGTCGCGTAGCGGCAAATGTAGAAACTCACTGTAAATGTATATAAAAGTAAAATGATAATAAAAAGGCTATTAAATTATAAAATATGATCCATTGATGACATCGAAGTGACATAAAGCTATATACATTAATAATAATTTTCAGAACTTTTACGCATACTAAACTTAATACTATACTACTATATTAAATTTGCAAGCGCAAAGTCATTTTTCCGTCATGAGCAATATATGTTATTGAGGTCAAATTTTCGTCACATGATTTCGAGTCAAAATAAAGTCATTTTAACTTTTTCTTGACTTTAGTGTGTTCGTTTCCTTGGGTATTCGATATTATTTATATATTTTCATTTTTTATCGCTAAAAATTATAAAAAATATATACTGCATATTCAATAATTAAGACATTGAATAAAATATAAACAAAGAGAAAAAGAGAGATGTAAATATATATTTTACAATATATCTTAAAAGCTTATAATTCACTTGGCTTGATGGTTACAATATGAGAGCAAAATTATTAAAAAATTTTAATTCCCTAAATTCCAATAAAATTTGATGAGAATTCTCTCATTTTACCAGGTATAAGGGTCTCCGTACAAGGTGATCCGTATCGCATTACGTTATGTTAAGTATCAATGGTAAATTTAATTCCGTACGTAAACTTAAACTTCAATTAACGCATGTCTTTACGTTCCGATTTTTTCTGTGCGTTGACTGAAGTTTACGTACGGAATTAAATTTACCATTGATACTTAACGTAATGCGATACGGAACACCTTGTGCGGAGGCCTTAAAAGAAATCTCTAAAAATACCAGATTTTCTATATTTTTTTTCAGAAAGTAGAAATCTCATTTTTGCATTTCAAAATAGTATAATACTTATATTATTTCTTTGAAAATTGCAGCTTAATTATAAATACGCAGCTTAATTACATCTCAAATAATATAACATTGTTAATTTGCTAAACATGTAATTTTTTATAATTGTCAAACATAAGAATATTTCATCATTCAAGAATATTCCATTCATTTATAAGAAATGATCTTGATAAAAATGTTTTTGAAATCATAATTTAAGGACGCAGATATTATATTTTCAGAACAAATAAAAGAAAAAAACTGATGTCTTTTAAATTTCTTTAAAATAGACAGATTAGGTCTTAAAAAGTATGTTTTACATTAAAAAAAATTAAATTAAAATGAATACATTTATATTTATTTTAAAATTAATATAAATGTTAAATTAATACTTAATTTAAAATTAATATAATGAGAAAAAACCTATATATATATATATATATATATATATATATATATATATATATATATATAAATTATTTCTCTAATTATTTTTCAATTATTCTTATTATTTTTCCTGTATACATGAGTAGAGATTACAAGAGAAAGGAAATATATATAAATGACCATATATTTTATATCTATATTTTATGTATAATTATATATATATATCTAATTATACAGAATATTTTACGATAAGAGTATCTTATCATTGGATACTTCTTTTCACTTTTATAACATATAAGATCATCAAGAAGATATACATATAATTTAACATTAAGTTAGTAATAAAAATATTATATGAATTGATATTTATTTCCCCACAGCCAAATTTATTCTATACTATAAAATTTAAAAAGATGCTTAAGAAATTACTACTACTTAAAAATTCCACTTAAGCACATTCAACTTAATCCTTAAGACATTTGTATATAGTGAAATTAATTTCTTAAGCATTTTTTTTTCAAATTTTAATTATATATTAATTAAAATACGTAAATACATAATTACAAATAGATTGACTTTAATTAAAAATAGATATTGCTTAAAAGTTCAGATTTTCAGATTTTCACTGATATAATTATATAATGCATAATATCTATACTATAAACTTGATCTATTTTTGTTCAAACATTTTTGTTCAAACATTTTTGTTCAAACACTATTTAAAATTTTTGTTAAAAAACAAATGAAAAGCTATTACTTAATAGAGTAATCTATTAAATAAGTATTATAAAAAAGTACTGAATTATTTAATCATTTAATATAATTTTTAGATAAAAAATATTAAAAAATGCAACTTTTAAATGCTTGTGTAAAGAGATTAAGTAATAAAATTATAGCGGTAATACATATGTATCTTCAGTTAAAAATACTCAATTTTGATTTCATTAAATTTTAAATAAGTTAAAAATAAACAATATTGCTCGATACTGCAATTTTCAATATGTAATAGTACATTTACATATATAAGATGTTTTACATAAAGCATTACAAGATGTTTTTTTTAAAACTTGACGTATAAAAAATGTTTCAAACAAAATATAGAGATAAGATTTTGAGAAGAAGAAAAGTTAATTTTTAACTAAGATCATTTTTCAAAATCATGGAAAAGTCAAGCTATATTTACATGGAAGCATCCAAATTTTTTTTTTGTATAAATTGATTCCGTCCAATATTCGATGTAAAAAATTATAAAATAGAATGGCTAAAAATTAAATAATTTACGAGATATTTTATTTATATAAAATTATATAACAAAATAAAAATATTATCTTATAACACATTATATAAAACATGTATAGTGTATTACATTATATATGTGCGTTACATTATGGATGCAAAGAGAAGAACACACAGAACTTGTCCATATTAATTTATGATAAAAATCCTATTATTTTGTGAAAAATCGTCAAATACTTTAAATATTATCAATAAGACATTTTCTTTTGAAAATAATTACTGAATTTTTGTTCAGCGCTCTTTAAAATGAGTTCTATTATATCTTGCAAAAAAATTTAAATAATTTAAATAAAATTTAAATAATTTCTTGTTTCTAATCTCGTTATTATAGTAATATAATTATCATAAGATGATTAAAGAAATAAAGGCCTTATAAAAAGGCCTAATAAAAAGTTATTAGTATTTTGTATATAATTTACGATGGTGGAACCCATCCGCCGAATGTTGCTTCGAGTTCTTTGGCTACTGCTAAACACAGATGATCATTATAAGGAGCTGCTACTACCTTTAATTAAAAAAAAATGAATTTTTAAGATTCAAAAAATTTTTTAATTACATAATATGATTTTCTAAATGACTAAAAAACAATAAAAATATTTTTAAGAAAGGAATAAGTTTTAATGATACAAATATAATGATATATGATACCTTAGTAATATATAATTAATGACTGTGTATTACTGTGAATAGAATATTTTAATTTGGAAGTAGATTTTGTAAAACAGCTTTTAGAGCTGATATTTTATTGTTATCAATATAGTACTTATAAATTTCGATTGCATACGTATTACTACTCAGATACAATATTATTTTACAATTGAATATAGCCTCAATTTCACTCAAACATTTTCAATCAAACATATATTTGCAATGAAACGATATTTTGATTAGGCATAATATCCAGTAAGCAAAATGTCAACAGATTTACTCAAAAGTTACTAGCAAATTGGTAGAGTCTGTTAGAGTTTTGACAATCTCATAATCGAGATTAATTATACTATTATATCTTATACTGTTATATGTAAATTACTTAATCGGTTTTCTTTTTCTCTAACTAATAATTTAGATGATTAGTTATTCCAGTCCAAAAAGATTTATATTAATCTAATATTAATATAAATTTAATATGATTGACTAGTATTATAGTGATTAATTATATAATGATTAATTTATCAATAACTTATTACCATATATGCTATATTATCCATATATAAAAAACAATAAACTAAAGTTATTTATGCTTTAAAAATCAATAATAAAAATCATTACTTAAAGTGATACAACATTTTAGAGAACTAGAAGTAATAAAAATCACTAATAAAAAAATTTTATCTCTTAAGAATACACTATTAAAATATTGCAATAATCATATTTAATGTGTGAACAAAAAGTTATAATACATTTAATTATAAATATGAGAATTTAAATATAAAAATATAAAAATATAAAAATTTATCAATATTAACATAAATATGAATTTTAGAGAGATTTTATATAAAAATAAAAAAATTTTTTAATACCTGAATTCCAATTGGCAAACCCTGTTCATCCAAACCCAATGGCACTTGGCAAGCTGGGAATCGTAAAACATTGAATAGACACCAATAGCCAAAATTGAAAGGTCGTAGATACATGGAATAATGATAGCCGGCAGGATATGGAGCCGAAGGATAAAATAACACTCCATTATCACCCAATTTTTCCTATAAAGAGAATTTCCGTCATAAAACATATAAAATATACATACAAAATATAATAAATAATAATAAATAATAATAATAGTAAAAATTGAACAAAAAATATATATTATTTAATTTGTAAATATTTTTCTATATCTGAAATATTTATGTATTATATATAATTTCTATAATAAAAAAACTAACTGTATTTATAAGTACACTGACAAAAGTATATTAAAATATTTATTTTTTTTTGCAACTGCAAATTTCTTAAAATTGTGATGGAGTAATTTGGAAAAGACCATCAAAAAATTAAAGTGACTAGTTTTTTAAATTATATTATATAATATATTATATTATTATATTATACTATTATTATACTATTATATTTCTAGACACACATGTGATGTATTTCTATCCTGTAATAATTTACCATCAAAAATTGTTTCATTTTTGCAGTGATGTGTTTTGCCCATTCCTCATTTTCCTGTGGTAAAAAGTCCTCATCTATCAATTTGATAATAGCAGCCAATGTCAATTGTGAGTTTCCAGTAAGTAGATTAAACACTTCTCTTTTTGCACTAGTAACATACTGCAAAGTAAATGTTTTTGATCAAGAATTAAAAAAATATTTATTATAAAGTATAGAATGCAATTTAAATACTGCTAAGTAGTATAAATATAATTCTATTATATTTTGAAATAGGTAACTCATAAAATTTTGAAATAAAATTGAAAATTTACCTTTCGATCTGTTATATTCAATTTAAAATTTACATTTTCAGCAGTCATCCAATATCTCCACAGTTTGTAGCTATACTCAGAGCCTGGTATTTTAATCTGTAATATATAAATATAGTATGACTTTTCTATTATTTTACAAACTTAGGAATTCTAGTAGATATTTAAAAAGAAAAACTTTTAAAACTTAAAAAATTAAAATATAGATTTTTATATAGTACAAATATATAATACATTTTTTTTATCAGTTTATGGAATCATATAATGAAATCTATAGGTTTCTACCTTTGTAGCAGAACCTGTGAGTTCTCTAAAATGTTGTATCACTTTAAGTAATGTAGCTTGCATAGTCCTATTGATTTTGCTCGCTCTCAAATCACCAGAACTCTCTTGGTAGAACACTTTTAAATTCTTCATTTTTACTGGCTCATCCAGCTTTAATTTGTGTAATTAATGTTAATACTTTATAAGTATTAGATCTTCAGCTTTTTTACAGAGTGGCCCAGCTGCTACCATGGTGTCCGGATAATCAGTCTCACGCAATCCAATTCCAGCTACTGGTGTCAATCCTGATAACAATAATATTTCAAAATGAATAGCATATGTGCAAAAATAATATATCCAAAAAAATTCTAAATAAGTAAAGCATAGTCTTAATTTTAATTCATGATTTGTTTAATTCATGTTTTTCTGCCTATTTTCGACCTATTTCTGCAGAACTGCAGAAATTCCAAATAATAAAAACGTTAACTTAAAAAAATGTTTACACCAATGTTGCAGAATTAATTCGGAAATAAATTCTTTTTTTTCTATATCAAGTTATAAACATAATTTATTGAGTTTTGCATGCTTCTCAATTAAGTTACTATTATTATTAGTGGTTTAAAGAAAATTAATAAAAATTTTAAAAATTTATTAATAAAATATAAATAAAAATTATTAAAATTAAATAAAAATTTAATAAAATTATTAATAATATTTATATAATAAAAAGAAAATTATGAAGTATTTTTATTAAGTATCATAAGAAAATTTTTTTGTTTCAATATGTAAGATATCTATATAATCACAATTCAAAAGTGCAGACATTCCAGATATTCAAATTATTAATTCAAATTATTATATCTTTAAGTATTATAATATCTTTTTAATAACATTTACCTTCACTAGGTTTGTGACCAAATAATCCATTAAAGAACGCAGGCATCCTCGTAGAGCCTCCTATATCACTACAGATGGAAAATGGAGCCCCACATGCTGCTACTATAGCTCCCTCCCCACCACTACTACCTCCCACTGTTCTAGTAATATCATAAGGATTATTTGTCTGTCCATATAGATTATTCCTTGTTTCTATCCATAAATTGAGTTCAGGAACATTGGTTTTCGCAATCAAAATTCCACCAGCTTCCTTGAGAAAACGAACTGTTGTGGCATCCTCCTCAGAACGATAATTACGGCGGCAGAGCAAGCCCATAGAATGGATTAATCCTAATGAAATAATTAATAATTAATTATGTTAAATTTAATTATTAAAATTCAGATCAATTAAATTTTTTTCTTTTTTTTCTTTATAAAAGATATCTATATTCTTTATTTTCTAGACTTTTCTTAAATGATTTTAGAATTAATGCAGAAGTGGAAAATAATTCTTCATTGTGCTACTTTGCCTACCCTTAGCGCAATTGCTTTCTTTTGTAGTAAAGGGAACTCCAAAAAATGGCAATGTTATTCTTATTTTCTCCAAATCCGTACATTTTTCTATCGTAGCATCCACTACTTTAGCTTCTTTAATTGCATCTGAGTATCTATCCTCTACAACTGCATTTATTAAGCCATTCACTTCTTTGCATCTTTCAATATATGTCGTTACAACCTCTTCTGATGTAACTTTTTTTGTCCTAAAAAAAAATATATATATATAAATATATTTATATAAATATGTATATATATATATATATATAAAATATATAAATATATATATATATATATATATAGAATTATACATATTTTATATAAATATATATAAAATTATACATATACATATATATGTATGTATGTATATGTATAATTTTATATATATTTATATAAAATATGTATATTTCTATATATATATATATATATATATAGAATTATACATATTTTATATAAATATATATAAAATTATACATATACATATATATGTATGTATGTATATTTCTATATATATATATATATATAATATATATATATATATATATATATATATATATACAGGGTGGGGAAAAAGTATGGAAGCAAACAATTATTTCCGAAACTATTCATTTTTCGACAAAATGTCTTAGACATAATTTTTATGGTATGAAAAGATGTATTATGTGGCATAGACAGCATGACCTTGAAATGACCCTTACGAGCTGCATACAAATAACAAAAAATTTCAAATGGAACTCGTCAGTTTTTGTTACAGATTCTTGTAGCTGATGTCGAAATGTTTACAAAACACTGCATATGAGCCCCATTCCCTTAAAAACACTCCCAGTTACGAAACAATTGTGATAATTCGTATTTCCTACTTTTGGCTTATCCTTTACGGAACCTGTTTCATTAAATCGTTGAATTGTCTTAGCAACGGTAGATCTTACTATGCCCGGTTGTCCGATTCGAAAAGTTTCATTAAACAAAACTGTAACTTCATCGTGAGTTCTTTCATTCTCACCCCAACCACGCATCATCAACAGCGATATTCGCTCTCGTTCTGTTAATCAGGCCATCGTGAAAATAACATTTGAAATTACACAAATGAAAATCAGTAACAATTCCTATGATAGAAAACGACAAAAATAGCAAATTTTCAAAACACAATATCCGAAACTTGTATGCCAATTGACACTACTTTTTTAAGGATAAAATAAATGATAATAATAAATAAGGTAGCGATGATCAAGAAATCAAAAAAATTCTATGAATGCTCATAGACAGTGTATCATATGACAACAGGTACAATTACATGTTATTAGTGGCGCAACTGAACGTCATGATGCGAAATCAGTAAGCAATGTCAATGTGCATACAAATTGTTTGTATCACAATTGTTTCGTAACTGGGAGTGTTTTTAAGGGAATGGGGCTCATATGCAGTATTTTGTAAACGTTTCGACATCAGTTATAAGAATCTGTAACAAAAACTGACGAGTTCCATTTGAAATTTTTTACGTTATTTGTATGCAGCTCGTAAGGATCATTTCAAGGTCATGCCGTCTATGCCACATAATACATCTTTTCATACCATAAAAATTATGTCTAAGACATTTTGTCGAAAAATGAATAGTTTTGGAAATAATTGTTTGCTTCCATACTTTTTTCCCACCCTGTATATATATATATATATATATATATATATATACAGGGTCTACCAAAAGTGTGGAAACCCCTAAATATCTCGGAAAATATACGTTTTACAGAAAAGTGTTTCCAACAAAAGTTGTAGGGTTTAAGAAGATCTATATACTGATTCTATCAGTTTGACCTTGGATGGCGTCGTCAAGGTCAGGTCAAGGTCACATTGACTTTTTTAAATGACACCCCCTACATTTGATTGCATATTCTTATAGCTTAATTCAAGAGCTTTCCAAAACACTATAATAATGTTCATTTTTATTAAGTACTTTGCGAGTTATGAGGGTTGAAATAATTTCTTAATTTTACATAAACCATAAAATATCTAGTAAACCATTCATTTTTCGATTATCTTACCTTCATACTTTTATGTACAAAATAATGAAAGGAATCAATTGGTGTAAAGAAAACATACAGTTGTTTTTAAGAAAAAATATGGAATTGTTAATTGCAAATTACATATTTTTTCTTAGAAACAACTATGTGTTTTCTTTACACCAATTGATTCCTCTCATTAATTTGTACATAAAAGTATGAAGGTAAGATAATCGAAAAATGAATGGTTTACTAGATATTTTATGGTTTATGTAAAATTAAGAAATTATTTCAACCCTCATAACTCGCAAAGTACTTAATAAAAATGAACATTATTATAGTGTTTTGGAAAGCTCTTGAATTAAGCTATAAGAATATGCAATCAAATGTAGGGGGTGTCATTTAAAAAAGTCAATGTGACCTTGACCTGACCTTGACGACGCCATCCAAGGTCAAACTGATAGAATCAGTATATAGATCTTCTTAAACTCTACAACTTTTGTTGGAAACACTTTTCTGTAAAACGTATATTTTCCGAGATATTTAGGGGTTTCCACACTTTTGGTAGACCCTGTATATATATATATATATATATATACACAGGGTGTATCTGAAATAATGCACTGAACTTTAAGAGCATATTCTAAAGATCAAAATAAAACTTTTTTTTCCTATGAACATGGGTCCGCAAATGAATCTCTCTCCGAGCTAGAGGTCCCTAAAGTTTGGGGAAAAAATTAAAAATTGGCTGTATTTCAGAAAAAAAAAGGTTCTGATGTCACCCTCTTTTGAGAGATAAATAAATTTGTGTTGCGCGTGTTTGGTCAATTTCACACATTTTCAAATTTTAGCTCGGAGAGGGGTGCATTTGCGGACCCATGTTCATAAGAAAAAAAAGTCTTATTTTGATCTCTAGAATACGCTCCTAAAGTTAGTGCATCATTTCAGATACACCCTATATATATATATATATATATATATATATATATATATATGTGTGTGTGTGTGTGTGTGTGTGTATAAATATAGATATTATAATTTAATAAATGATAAAATTGCTAAAACTATATATGCATATTTTAAAATTAATAATTTAACCTGATTTTCTCCGCTAAAGAGACAGCACTTTCTAACAACAGATTGTTTTTCACTGGTGGTACTTTCTTTGCCTTTGAATTATAATATAGACCAAAAATAAAATCTACAATGCAATCAAAGAGAAAATGTAGTTCTATGATTATATATCGCAGGATTTTACAGCACAACATTTTGATGCATTGCAATACATCTTCGCATTGTGGGGGATCCTATATATAAACATATATAAAGTATATTAATAAAAATATATATAAACTTGTACATTATATATTATTATATATTACTTGTATATATATTTTTTATTACAGAATAATATATAAATAAGATTTTCATAAAATTATATTAAAAAATAATTATATCAGCATTTTATTTTATTATATAATCAGAATACAAAAAACAGATCATGATACTCATTTAGAATTGAACATTTAGAATAGTATAAAAATATGCTTTGAAAATTATTTGTTTTAATGATTTAAAATAAAAAAATAAATAAAAAAGATTTATTTTATCAAAATAAATTCAATCAAAATAAAATAAGCAAAGAAATTTTTAATTGTTGTAAAATTAATTGCTTTAGATAACATTAAAAAATGTTCAAATAAATGTTCAAACATTAAAAATGATTATTAATGTATAATTGTATATAATAATGACATATAGAAATTTTTAATTTACCTTATTTTTTATAGAGGTACACATATTTGTATAAAAAATAATAAGTGTATCAATAGAATTTACTCTTAAAAAAATACAAATAAAATTAATTATGTACAGTATTTCTGAAAGTAATGCGAATTTTTCTTCTTTCACATATACACATGTCCATGTATCTCTTCCTAGTAACACATTTCTCTTTTCTTATTCTTTTTCTAATATTCTTTATTTTAATCTATAAAAAAACTTTAAAAATACTGTTCTAACCACACTGTGATAAATTTTACATCAATAAGTGTAAATTAATGGATCTTATTAATCATCATTATTAAATGCATCAAAATACATGTAATAAATTCAAGAATTACTAAAAAACTTTGTTCGTCTTCAATATTATTGTCTTTAGTTTTATATAAAAAATAAAGATGATACAGCATCCGTCATTAGAAAGATCGCTGCATCATCATTGAAACACATCAGCTGTCTTCAGTAGCGTACATATTTCGTAAAGCCGGGTCTACAATGACTCTATCATTAAAGCCCCTTGCACAATGCTAGGCAACAGAAATATAATAGAAACAGGCAATAGAAATAGGGAATAGGAACTATTCACCAATAAATACGCGGAATAGAAAATATTCGCCAATAAGAGCAGATAATAGAGGTTTGTCGCGTCGCATGCTCCAATGTACACTCCGCGACAACGATTCGTTCCATGGTCCCTCTCGCGGGGCAAGGGGAGCGTAGCCTCTAACCAATCAGCCACTGCCACGCTGCCAGTTGATTGGTCACTTTTACGCTCCCCTTGCCCCGCGAGAGAGGGGCCATGAATCGTTGTCGCGCAGTGTACTCCAGAGAGCACTTGGATCACAAATAAGATGGCGGTTAGCAGAGCAGATGAGTTCATGTGCACCAACGTTTGGTGACATGAACGGACTTGAGGCACTTTTCCTTCTTTTTTTCCTTCCAACCAATCACACATTACTGACAACATCTTGATGCTTTTACTGATTTCAATATTATAATTAATAATATTATAATTGATAATATTAATGATGAATTTGTAGAACAAAATCTAATACCCTTGGCTATTAATAATTTTGAAAATGAAAATGATGACGAAATAGAAAGTGAGTATTAAGAAAATGTAGCGTTCTAACTTTTTGTTAATATAATTTCTAAAGATTGGTTTTATTTTAAATTCGTCTTTTTTTTTAATTTGTGAATTTTTATTGAATTTTATATAATTTATATTTGCAGATATTACTGTTATAACAGCAATATCTGCAAATATAAATTATATAAAATTCAATAAAAATGCACAAACTAAAAAAAAGGCGAATTTAAAATAAAACCAATCTTTAGAAATTATATTAACACAAGGTTAGAACGCTACATCTTAATACTCACTTTCTATTTCGTCATCGGCTGCATTCAGCGGACTCAACGGACAGTTGGGCAACATACTAGATTTCCCGATGTAATTCGACGCTGATTGGTCGGACCTAAAAGTAGAAACCAATAATATTTGATTGTTACTTAGCGGTTGAATCCGCTGAATGCGGCCATCGTTTTCATTTTCAAAATTATTAATAGCCAAGGGTAATAGATTTTGTTCTACAAATTCATCATTAATATTATCAATTATAATATTATTAATTGTAATATTGAAATCAGTAAAAGCATCAATATCCATGTTGTCATAATACTGTAATGTGCGATTGGTTGGAAGCAAAAGAAGAAAGAAAAATGTCTCAAGTCCGTTCGTGTCACCAAACGTTGGTGCACATGAACTCATTAGGATTACGTTCTAAAACGCAAGTAACCGAGAAAAAATTTACTCGATGGCTGATTTGAACCAATCGGAAACGCTTAAAAGAGTTTCGGAACGGCTAGCGAGTAAAATTTTCCTCGGAGAGTACGTTTTGGAACGTACCCTAGAGTGGGTAAAGGCTATAGCACACACTTTCCATAAGACATAACAGTAAGATTTCGACCAATCGCGTTGCTCAATTTGGTTAAGGATGGTCAAATTGAGCAACGCGATTGGTCGAAACCTTACTGTTATGTCTTATGGAAAGTGTGTGCTACAGCCTTAAGTGTGGCAGAAATAGGTACTTTTCGCTTATGGCTCCGCCATATCGAGAACAACTTCCTCTTTTCCTATATATATATAGATATACACTAGTATGAATGTATTTACATATATAATAGTTCTATATGGCTACAGGTATGTAAATATTTACATTAAAAAAAGAAGCTCATCATAACGTTTTAAAAACGTTTTTTAACTGTAAAATATTAATAAGAAATGTTTCTAAAGAAACATTTTTATAAACGTTTCTATAGAAACTTATTAATGTTTTACGATTAATAAATATTAATAAACATTGGATACGTTTAAAAAACAAAATATATAAAATATATAAAACGAACGTGTGCTATTTGGAAAATTTAAACAGTAAATTTTAAATAAAAAAGAAAAAAAATAAAAGAAAGAACAAAACAAAAAAACATTACTCCAAAGGTGAGTAATGTTCTTTCATATTTACGATATATGCTTTTGAAAGCCGCACTTAGTTCGATCTCATTATTCTCAAAATGGCGGCTTCCGGCTTATCTGCCACACTCTCCCTTGACCCACTCTAGAGCCGGTATTCATAGTCCGATCTTATATTTAAGATCATCTTAAGTTCATCTTCAGATAATCTGTAGCCAATAAAATAATACATACAATATCTAAAGATGAACTTAAGACAATCTTAAATATAAGAACGGACTATGAATACCGGCCTATAACTCATCTACTCTAACCGCCATCTTACTTGTGATCCAAGTGCACTCTGGAGTACATTGGAACACGCGAACAAACTTACTATTAAAGGCTGTAGTCGGGAAGACTCTCTGGATGCTTTGAAACATCATTCTATCTTTGTTCTACATTCCTTGAGAATAAAGATAGAATGATGTTTCAAAACATCCAGAGCATCCCCCAATAGCCAAGTCTGCTAAAGCAGATCTTGTCAGGGAATCTGTTAGAAATTGTTGTCGACAGAAAGATTACAGAATCGATGCAGGTTCTGATATATCATGTGATGTCGCCAGAATGTCAACAGAAATATAACAAAGCTTGTTAACATAATCAGTTACCAGATTGGCAGCAAAAATCGAACAGATTCTGCCGGCATAACTTAGTGGCAGATTGGTGGCAGAAATTGAACAGGATCTGTGCGATGCAATTTGACAACAGATTGTCGGCAAAAATCGAACAGGATCTGCGCATACAATCTCTGATAGCAGATTGATGGCAGAAATGGAACAGGATTTGCATGATTCGATAGTTCTTTCACTTACCGCTACGTGAGCTGTACTTTCTCGTAATTGAATTTCTGTCAGAAATATATATAAAGTCACGAATATGAATAAAAGACTAAAAATATAGTAATTATCATTTTAATTTTTCACTTTAATTTCTGATATCTGATACAAGCAAATGAGAGTCAGAATTCAGAATATTAAACTGATTGGAATCAATATAATATATGGAAAATTATTCATGCACTGGCTATTTGAGGCATAAAGCAAGAATTTAATTCTAAATAAATTACATCTCAAGTTTTACAAGTTACATTTACTTTATTATTAATTTAATTAAATAGAATTGAAATTAGTTCTTCGCTATATGAAATATAACTATGATATAACATATTACATATATGTCATTTTCTATAAGAAAATTCTAATTAACTTGCCGATAATATTGTTATTTAGCACCTGTAATAATCAATTTTGTTGCATTTATATAATATTAATAAAAGTGCAAATCTTGTGAAATTTCTACTGTCCATTTGCCATCAGGTTGCATCCGCAGATTCTGTTCGGTTTCTGCGGACAATCTAACATCAAATTGCACGCGCAGATCCTGTTCGATTTCTGCTAACAGTCTGACATCAAGTCATGTTAGCATTGATAGCAGATCCTGCTCAGTTTCTGCCGACAATCTGATATCCGATTCTGTGAGCAGGTTCTGCTAGCAGATTAGAAGCAGAATGAGGACGCAGTAGATGTCATTCTGCTGACATGGTTTGATCAAATCTGTTGCCAGTCTGTCGACATACTGCTTACATTTTGCTTATTGGGATCTTCCCGACCGCAGCCAAAGACCGATGGTTTTATGGAATTTAGCGCGGCCAAAAAAAACGTGCAAAGTGCTGCTATAGGTGACAAAATCTTTACATTGTCGATAATAAAATGATGATTTGATACATATTTGATACATTTATCATTTTTGAAACAGGTACATAAAAGATTTATACATTTTCGATAATAAAACAATAGTTGAATGACCTAAAATACTCGTATGATTGAAATAATTCTTGTAATTGTCTTCAATATAATCAAACGGTAGTATCATCAATCTTCTATTATGTCCGGGTCCACTTGGTGGGCACGAAAATTTAAGGCTATCGGTTTTTAATAGTATCTCATCGGTGCCAATACTTACTATAAAAATCCTATAAAATTTATTATTATAATTTATTATTATATAATTTATATAATATTTATTGTTATCTATATTGTTACGCCCGCGGCGAGGACTTCGATAGATATCGAAGGCGCGCTAAAGAGATCAGCTGCTCGCGAGACGCGCGAAATAAATAAACATTTTTAAAAGGAACTATAAGAACTTTAATGCACAACACAGAACACAGAAGCGTAACCACGGAACGTTAACACACAATAATAATAACACGGATTGGCTCGATAGAAATGCGCGTCCGCTCAGTTTGACAGCTGGCTCCAGACTCAAATGACAGACGCTGCTGTCAACAACCTTTTGACAACCAAATGTTCTTGTTAATCGGCGCCGTTTCGATGAACACGGACATCAGAGACGTAACAATATATATAATATTCATTATTATAATCTATAATGTGTTATTGTAATAATATATTATTAAATATCATTCATATTCGAAATAGAGTAATTAAAATTTGAAAATGAGCACGAGTTACTAAAAAATGGCGGATCAATCAAAAATGGCTTCCTATGCCGAAAAATGGCGGACCAATCATAAGTGGCCCCTGTTGACCAGTCTTTTATTAGGACTACGGTCGACGAGATGCTCTAGATGCTTTAAAGTGTTTAATTAGGCCGGGTCTACAATAGATAATTTAAGCCCTAAGCTTTAAGAAATTGACCAATCACAATCGAATATTCTCTTCATACTTGACTGTGATTGGTCAATTTCTTAAGGCCATTCCGACCACAATGGCCGTAGCATAAGGTTGTAAGGCGTAAGACTCAAAAAATTGACCAATCACAGTCGAGTATTCTCTTAATACTCGACTGTGATTGGTCAATTTCTTGAGTCTTACGCCTTACAACCTTACACGTCGTCTACAATGGCAGTAGGATTAATGAATTAAAGCTGTAACTTAAAGAATTGACCAATCACAGTCAAGCATTAAGAGAATACTCGACTGTGATTGGTCAATTTTTTGAGTCTTACGCCTTACAACCTTACACTACGGCCATTGTAGAATGACCTTAAGGCTCATGTTTTAAATTACCTATTGTAGACACGGCCTTAACCAATCAGATTAAAGAAATTTTTACTCCTTCTGTCTTGATTGGTCAATCAAATGTTTCAACGTATCCAAAGCGTCTTCCCGACCGCAGCCTAGGCAGTATCAAACGATCGGTGTAAATTAGGCCAGTAGCTTTCGACACACTCGTCCGAATGTGTAGTATTGCATATTCTATGGTGCTGGAATAGGAACTCTGATGCGGACCGAGTAACGGAGCACGAATAGCTGAGTAGACGATCGCGAGGCCCATCATAGCGGATGTCAATTGCTTTTATTTCGTTTGCATTTATTTGTCGGCATCTTCGGTTCCAACATTTCTAACGATGTGGCCATCACGCGCAGTGCCGTTATGACAGATTCACGTGACGCTGTATATCGTACGCGCTTCGGCGAGTCGTTTGACAGTCACCTCCTCGCGCAAGGGCTTTCAAGTAAGATGGCAATGGCGCGCCGGGATGCTAACGAGTAGCTCAGCTGATGATCGGATAAACAAAATGGTAGCTCGCCATGGTCGTGCACCGGCAGGTGATACGTGATTCTTGCATACGAGTGAGTTATTGAGATCGAGGTGGGAAACGGAGGCGCGAGACTGGAGGAAGAGTTTTTAGGCTACGATATGAGTACTGACAGTCATGACCGGACGAAAACATCCTGCAAGGTACCCGCGAGATCCGATGAGGAGAATACGTTCGACGGTAAGCGGATTAAGAAGGAGCGCGGTGACATTTGTGCGGAGAGTAGTGACGCCACCTCAGTCTCCTGCTCCGCAACCGTCATCACCACAACTACTAGCAGCACCACCGTCGCCGCTTCTGCTGCTGCTGTCGAGAAGGGACAACCGCCGGCCGGCAGGTCGTTCGCGACGAACGGCTTCCACGGAGATGGGGATCTACTGCAAGACCTCGTCGCGAGTAAATTCGCGACACTGGCTAATCATAGCGCTTCTTCCAAACAGGACAAGATTCGCATTATGATAGAGGATGGCATTAGGTTAAAAGTCAATTTTCATTTTAAACAACTTTCAAATGCATAATTATTTCAGTTATTATTATAAGACGCTTTTTTCATCATTTTTTCGCATTATACAGGGTGTCCCAAAAGTCATAATCAATCTTTCAAAGACAGATTCCTGGGATCATCTGGAGATGATTTTTCCTCAACGAAAATGTCGAGGCACTAATAATTTTCGAATTATAAGTGATTGGAAATAAGGGGTGTTTCGTAAACTAAGCTTTGCAGAAATAAAATATTAACAAAACCATATTCTTCGATTAATTTTAAATAGAGTTTACTTTAGTTGAGTTTTAATTTAAGGCTTAATTGCAAAGATATATATGATGACAAAAATTGGGAACGTGCAAAAAATGATGGCCTTCATTGACATTTTCGCTGAGGAAAAATCATCTCCAAATCATCCCAGGAATCTGTCTTTGAAAGATTGATTATGAGTTTTGGGACACCCTGTATACATTTTCATTGCACAAATTTTAGTTTGTTATTTTTTATGTATGAGTAAAGTGGTAATATTATGACAATTAAGAATTGATTGTAATAAATTGAAATAGTTGACTAATTATCTCATTAAAATAAGATTATTAAATCTAATGTTAACATTTGCTGTTAATATTCAATTTATTAATCAGCTCTTAATTGTCATAATATTTTATCTATATGTAAAAAATGATGAACTAAAAAGCTAATATATCAAAAGCATGATTTATGCATTTAGCTACTGCCACAGTTTAGCATGCATTATAATAACAATGTTTTGTTTCAATATGTATTTTTTTGTAGTCAATTTCTGATAAAATGTTCAAGTACTTTTTTGTTCAATAAAATATCTAATTATATTTTGCGTTAATGCCTTAGTAGCTAAAAAATATTGAGTAAATTACTTGTAATATATATAATTAGAAAAATTTTAATGCACATAATGAATGAGTATTTGAATCAATTAAAAATTGTTTATAAATGCTGAAATGTTTATTATATATAATTATATATATATATATATATTTAATTATATATATATATATATATATATATATATATTTCTATGTATGTATGTGTATATGTATGCAACAAGCCACATATATATATATATATATATATATATATATATATATATATATGTGGCTTGTTGCATACATATACACATACATACATAGAAATCGCAAATATTTTTCAATTAAAAATAATGAATGTCCGTTTCATATAAAACACAACTCAGACAGAAAAAATAAAATAATTTTTTTACATTACATTTTACAATAAAACTATTTTTTTATTTTTTTATATAATATTTATTTACGTTACTTCCGACATCAAAAATTATATGTAGATGTATATATCATTAAATAATTATATAAAGTTTTATAATTATTGTATAATATTTTAATATAACTTACTAAATATTTTAATATTTTAAATATCTTACTAGAAAAAAAATCGAAAATTTTAATATAAAAATGAAATTACAATAGTTAATGAGTTATTTGGATTTTAGTTTAAAAATTATTGATATCATATAGAGAATTCGCGCGTTTAAACATAATAATAATTGATTCGTTATTGATTTTCACTAGTTATCTGATATTGATTTGTGTATATTTGATTTATTATTTTTTATGTATTATGTACTCCATATATACAATATAGCAATTAACTGATTTTGACAGATTGATTGCTAATACTAAATTTTAATAATTACATATAAATTAGTTAATTTTTTTTTTATGATAGTTTATAATAATTAATAATTTATAATTTTATAATCTTTTTTTTAAATAGTTGAATTAATTATAATAGTTGATTAATATTTTATTAAAATAGAATTATTAAATATTTATAATGCTAATAAAAATATAAAATAAAAAATATTTAATGTTATTAAATATTAACATTTTTTTTCTATATTATTATTCCAATTATTAATTAGCTTTTAATTTTCATAGTATATTATTTTATCCAACATGAAATCTGCACAATAAAAAATTAGTGTTGTGGGACTGTTGAAAATCAATTCCAGATTGATGTGCATGTAAATGTAATTACGAACTTGAATGCACGAATTTTGCATGATATCATGGATCAACTTTGACCAAAAGATATGGTACATAGTCTTGTGCCAAATTACACGCAACAATAGTGAGTAGGATGTCTACTTCCTGGAGAAACATAGAAAACGTGGAGGAAAAACCAGGATTTTCTTTGTACCTGAAAAAATCAAGAAATTTTCATGGTATTTTATTGATACTCAATTAACAAAAAAATTCCCTCTGATTATTTCGTTTTCATATTGTAAACAGTCGGGACAAGCCAAATGAATACATTAAAAATATAAATATACAGGGTGTTTCAGACTACCAGTACCACCCATTTAAAAACTAGAGAAGTGGTTATTTCAAAAAAGTAAAAACATTTTCTTTATAAATCGGGTGCGCTATGGAATGGTGATATTTTCAACTTCTGGTTCCGATCGGAAATAGGCAATTCAGACCGGAAGTGCATTTTTTTAAATGGAACCCCCTATTTTTCATTGCATATTCTTGTAGCTTACCTCGAGAGCTTTCCAAAACACTATAATAAATTATTTTTCCATGAAGTACTTTTCGAGTTATGAGGCTTGAAATCATTTCCTAATTTTATATAAACCATAAAATATCTTGTAAAATATTCATTTTTCGATTATTTTACCTTAATACTTTTATGTACAAAATAATGAGAGGAATCAATTGGTGTAAAGAAAACACATAGTTGTTTCGAAGAAAAAATATGTAATTTGCAATTAACAATTACATATTTTTTCTCGGAAACAATTATGTGTTTTCTTTACATCAATCTCTGTACACCGATTTCTGTCATTATTTTGTACATAAAAGTATTAAGGTAAGATAATCGAAAAATGAATATTTTACAAGATATTTTATGGTTTATGTAAAATTAAGAAATGATTTCAAGCCTCATAACTCGAAAAGTACTTCATGGAAAAATAATTTATTATAGTGTTTTGGAAAACTCTCGAGATAAGCTACAAGAATATGTAATGAAAAATAGGGAATTCCATTTTAAAAAAATGCACTTCCGGTCTGAATCGCCCCTATTTCCGGCCGGAACCAGAAGCTGAAAATATTACTATTCGATAGAGCGCACCCGATTTATAAAGAAAATGTTTTTACTTTTTTTAAATAACCACTTCTCTAGTTTTCAAATTGGTGGTACTGGTGGTCTGAAACACCCTGTATAATATAATAATTCATCTCTTTATATATATCTCTTTATATATCTCTTTATATATTCGATTTCTTAACAAAACATTAAATATGTAGTATGCATTTTTTATTATAATTTTAGGAGATATAAAAAAAAATGAAAGTGTTATGCGTATGAAAAATGTTTATTTTACGAAAATTATTCAGTCTTTTGAATACATTTATAAATATAGCACTTGAAATTTAGGAGGCTATATGTTTTCTCATACAATAAGAGAATTTATCTTGTCAAATTACATCATAAAGATCTTGAAAATATTTTTTTTACCTGAAATTTTAAACAAAAATATCTGGAAGATTAGGAAATTTTCAGAATATTTTTTTTTACAAAATTTGAGTAGACATGTTGTGGTAAGGCAGGTATATATACAAACTATCTAGTTGAGGATATTTGAGATTATCGAATTTTAATAATGGTTGAACGGATGAAGTTTTTAATCGATAGTTCGGGTTTGTTTTACATAACAAAGATGTTTTATAATTTTTATACGTATAACAAAAATAAAAATCTCAATATAAAAATTTTCACTATGTGTTAAGAATTCGTCACGTTTATCAGTTTGAACTATGTCTTTTCACAATTTCTAACATGAGCTAATGATTGATATATTACTTACGTATCAATCTTATCTAATTTTATAATTTATATCTCGGTAATATACAATTGTAAATTATCTATTCATCGAAATTAGCGATGAGGTAGGATTTTGGAATTATTGAGATATGTCATTACAGAGATCTGTACACATGCACATAGAATTTATAAAATAAAAATTTTTTAAATAGTTTTAATCAGTAGAAAAGTATGAGTAAAAATGATACTCAATATTATGGAATAACTTTGCGACGAGATTGAAAAACGTTATTGATATGATTTTCTCTTTTGATTGTTTTAAAGTTACAGATCCTTTATCGACTAATATTCATGATATCAGAAGAGAAATTATGAATTATTATCTGCAAATATCAAAATAAATAAGCTTTTTTAAATGCGAACATTCGTGCTTGATAATGTGAATTAATAAAATGCGCCGAAAAATTTTTTTGATCCATGAATTAATAATAGCTGTAAAACTTGATCATTCATTATAAGAAATCCATTATAAAAATCCATTTTGGCCCAAAATGTAGGACAAATACATACGAGTTTATTTATTAATGTAGAATAACAAAAAGAGAAATTTTTGATGTATTTTAATAATCCACCTTATATGAAATAATCGCATTTAAAAAAACGATGTATGTATGTCGCAAGAAATAAATTTATATGATTCTGCTAAAAATAGAAAAATTAGATTTGAAATTCTCGATTTAGAAGTTGATATTAGGAGGACCTTTTTAGTTTTGGTTTGTGTGTGTGTATGTGTGTAAAGGGTTAGGTATATACACCCTATATATATATATATATATACAGGCTGTAACTGAAAAAGTGCTTACGGAGCAAATAGTGTTATTCCTCATTAAAAATCGAGTCGAAAAGTTTTTAATCAGGCATAACGTTATTTGCTCCGTAGGCGCTTTTTCAGTTACACCCTGTATATTATATAAATGTTATATAATAATTTGTGTGTGTGTGTGTGTTTGTGTGTACACACACACATACAGGGTGTCCCATTTTAATGTCCCACCCCAAATAACTTTCTTATTTTTAATTTTAGAAAAAGATATTTCAGGCAAAAGTTGTATGGTTTCTATGGAATTATTAATTGCAAATTACATATTTTTTCTTAAAAAAAACTGTATGTTTTCTTTACACCAATTGATTTTTCTCATTATTTTGTACATAAAAGTATTAAGGTAAGATAATCGAAAAATGAATATTTTACAAGATATTTTACGGTTTATGTAAAATTAAGAAATGATTTCAAGCCTCATAACTCGACAAGTACTCAATGAAGAAATACTTTATTATAGTGTTTTGGAAAGCTTTCGAGATAAGCTACACGAATATGTAATAAAAAATAGGGAGTTCCATTTAAGAAATTGACGGTGATCTTCACGTGACTTTCAAATGACTCTCCCATGTGAAATCATTGCCACTATCTGATGGTCCCCTTCAAGCCATACAACTTTTGTCTGAAACATTTCTTTCTAAAGTGCATAGTTTATGAAATATTCGACCGGCCCGGGACTTTTGGGACACCCTGTATATATAAACAACTTACTTTTATTTATCATTATTAGAAATTATGCCTAAAAATGAAAATATGCAAATATGTTATTAAGTTTTTAATTTTAATGTCAATTTTCTCTCGAAAACAATATTTTACATATTCACAAAACTTTATATTTAATTCTAAATTCTTAATTATGTCTCTTTCTTTTGAATTATTTTTATGGAATCTTTTCAAATATCCTCTCATAACATCCTGTATATATTACTTTTTCTATTTTATTATATATCTTTATATATCTTTATATATTATATTAATATTAATAATGTAGCAAATTACATATGATTATACACAGAGAAAAATGTATACTGTATTCGAGTAAATATTATTTATTTTAAGTATGTCATAAGTTTGTATATCCGCAAATATATCATAAATTTATCACAAGTATTAAATTTAATTGAATATATTCTGAATTTTAGTAAGTACAGTATTTTAATCAAAAATATTAAATTAAATTAAAACAAAAATTTGGTTTGCTTACATAAAATTGGCGTAAAGTAAGTTTGATTTTTCTTCGATACTACTTTATACAATACTCTATCTAATACTTATACAATATTCTTGAAGAGAAAATAAATTCTTCTTTTGAGTACATGATAATGAGATTTTCTAACACTTGTGATGAGTATATTTTAAAACTATTATCAAGAATATATTCTTTGTTAAAGAAAACTGTTACTTAAAAAAAGAAAAATAAACTGAGTAATTGCTTTTCTGGCAGTAGAATGATATTTTTCTCTATGTATTACATATTTAAATGCAGTGTTTGCTGTAGATAATTTCAAAATTATCTAGATAAAGATAAAGATAAAAATCCGTAAATTTATCTTAGATGAGATAAAGATGATTTTGCTTTTACTTAATCTAAATGAAAGATGAGATAATTATTGCGATAATCTAGATAATTATTTAAATATTTTTGTTTATTTTAGAAGACTATAAATATTTGTAAAAAATGTGACGCAGATTATAAATGGGATATTAAAACCATAAACACATATTTTTTCTCTTTTCCTAAAGAATATTTAAATAATAGCAAAAAGATATATAAATGATATGATAAATATTTATTTATTAATTTATATTTATAATATATTTATAATATATTAATAATATAAAAATAATATATTAATAATAATATTATAAAAAATATATTTTAGACATTTTAGATAGATTTTTAGAAGCTTGCTTTAGATTTTTGGAAAACTTTTTTGCATGATGAAAACGTCATCTTAGACAATTTTTAGATAAGATGACATCTATTTTTCATCTAAGATAAAGATAAAGATACTTTGTATTTCTTCATCTAATTAAAGATAAAGATGATCTATTTCTTTGTCTAGATGATTATCTAGATAATTTTATCTAGATACCAGCAAACACTGTTTAAATGATAACTTTTGTGCATATTTTATATATTTTGCAATAATTATTTATTAATTTTAAAAGTTTAACTCTTTTGCTTTTGATAAGAAAAATGTTAATATCAATTTTTTAAATTATAGCGAAGAATCTAGAGCATGTGTGGACGAGATCTTCTCGCAAGTGGAACGACTTAAATTAGAGGAGAAGTTATTGTTGTACCTGAAACTTCCGTTACTACTGACAAATCCAGGTGGGACCATTGATCCACTGAGGCAACCATTGAATCCATTAGGAAATCGTTATGAAATTCATCAAACTATTATGTGGATTAAAACACACTTAGAAGAAGATCCAGATGTATCTTTACCGAAGCAAGAAGTCTATGATGAATACAAGTAAGTTGTGTATGTGTGTATATGATATATAAGATGTATCAGAAATAGTATAAATGAAAAGAATATGATTACATAAATAACATAAGTGAAAAATATAGAATCAAATTTTTTTATACAAAGTTTTATTTCTTAAAAATAATTTTTCGGTCAAAGTAATGCAACAAGTTTCAATGATGCATTTATTTCATTGCATGAAAATATTGCTCTTTTTTTGTCATACACAAAATTATAATAATATTAATATTGTTTGAGTTAAAGAAATAGAAGTAAATCGTTTATAATTATTTATAATTATTTATAATTATAAACAGAAATAATTATATATAGTAAAATCCATAGCTAGCATAGATTATCAATTAAAAATGCATACATATTCGATGTATTTTTTCACAGTTAATTTTCTTTTTTAAAAAGGAAATCTTATGTAAGATTCTATTTTATATTTTTGCGTAAGAAATCGCCTCCCGATTTTTAATATATTCTGTTTATACAGAGTGTCCCAAAAGTCCCGGATCGGTCGAATATTTCATAAACTATATACTTTAGAAAGAAATGTTTCAAACAAAAGTTGTATGGTTTGAAGGGGACCATCAGATAGTGGCAATGATTTGACATGGGAGAGTCATTTGAAAGTCACGTGAAGATCACCGTCAATTTCTTAAATGGAACCCTCCATTTTTTATTATATATTCGTGTAGCTTATCTCGAGAGCTTTCCAAAACACTATAATAAAGTATTTCTTAATTGAGTACTTTTCGAGTTATGAGGCTTGAAATCATTTTTTTAATTTGGCATAAACCATAAAATATCTAATAAAATATTCATTTTTCGATTATCTTACCTTAATACTTTTATGTACAAAATAATGAGAGGAATCAATTGGTGTAAAGAAAACACATAGTTGTTTTAAAAAAAAATATGTAATTTGCAATTAACAATTAACTTTTGTTTGAAACATTTCTTTCTAAAGTACATTGTTTATGAAATATTCGACCGGTCCGGGACTTTTGGGACACTCTGTATATACACAGAATGTTCCTTTAACTTTTCCACACAATTATTTTTCGAAAACCTCATTCGCTATTCAAAATAAGTATTCTAAAAATGTCTTTTAATCGTTCATCAAAGATAGATTGAATGACGTTGGAGGATTTATATCATAACTCACAATAAACTTGTCTCGGAATGAACTACACGTCTAAAAAAAATAGATGGTTCTATTTGAAAAAATAAAAACACGTTCGAAATTCACGTTAGAAAAAAACTGTGCTCATTATAAGATGTTCTCTTATCCATCAAATAGCGAATACGTAGTGAGAAATAAGTACGTGGAAAGATATAAATAGATCTCTAAATTTTCAACTAAAAATATTATAACAGAAAAATTTTCGTAAAATTAAGTGAAAATATTATTTGCAAATTTTTATTTCAAACAGTAATAGATAATAATAAAGGTTTAAGACCAGACCATAGATTACATTTAGACAATCGCTGTGAGTTGCATGTACACTAATATTAATGATGCACATACGATTCACAAATAGACAATTAAATGTATTCTATGATTGACTAACTTTAAATCCTTCTCTCTATCTCTAAAAATTAGCAGTCCAGAAAAATAATTTTTTTACTTTTTCACGAACTTTATGATTCTTTGTGTGTGTGTACACACACACACACGCGTATAACTTCTTTATATTTTATTTTTATAATTTTTATATTCTTTTTCTAATTTTTATATTAAAAATGTATAATTGAAAAATTGGGGGAATAAAAAATGAAAAATAAAAGATTGAAAAATATAAAATTGAAAAATTTTAAAGAAATGGAAGACTGTGTTATTTATATAAACGAAAATTTCACAAATATTATTTCTGATACAATAATTATTTACTGTAATAAATAGACATTACAAAAAATCATTTCTTGAAGAAGTTACATTTGATGCCTATTTTCAGCATCTATTGCATAAGAAATTCTATGAAACCATTATCGACAGCTGATTTTGGAAAAGTCATGAAACAGGTATATCCACGAGTACGTCCTCGCAGACTGGGCACACGGGGAAATTCTCGCTATTGCTACGCGGGTATGCGTAAACGAATTAAATTGGATCCTCCGACACTGCCAAAGATATCTGGCCCTCAAACTGTGAGCAGCATATATGAGCATTTATATATATATAGACATACATGTGTGTGCGCGCGCACACACATACACACACACATACATACAGGGTGTCCCAAATGTCCCGGATCGGTCGAATATTTCATAAACTATGCACTTCAGAAAGAAATGTTTCAGACAAAAGTTGTATGGCTTGAAGGGGGCCATCAGATAGTGGCAATGATTTGACATGGGAGAGTCATTTGAAAGTCACGTGAAGATCACCGTCAATTTCTTAAATGGAACTCCCTATTTTTTATTAAATATTCTGGCTCACGTCGAGAGCTTTCCAAAGCACTATAATTAAGTTAGTTTTCATTAAGTACTTTCCGAATTGAATGAGGCTTGAAATCATTTCTTAATTTTACATAAACCGTAAAATATCTTGTAAAATATTCATTTTTCGATTATCTTACTTTAATACTTTTATGTACAAAATAATGAGAGAAATCAATTGGTGTAAAGAAAAAACATAGTTGTTTTTAAGAAAAAAATATGTAATTTGCAATTAACAATTACATATTTTTTTTTAAAACAACTATGTGTTTTCTTTACACCAATTGATTCCTCTCATTATTTTGTACATAAAAGTATTAAGGTAAGATAATCGAAAAATGAATATTTTACTAGATATTTTATGGTTTATGCAAAATATGAAATGATTTTAAGCCTCATAACTCGAAAAGTACTCAATGAAGAAATACTTTATTATAGTGTTTTGGAAAGCCCTCGAGATAAGCTACACGAATATGTAATAAAAAATAGGGGGTTCTATTTAAGAAATTGAAGGTGATCTTTACGTCACCTTCAAATGACTCTCCAAGGTCAAATCATTGCCACTATCTGATGGCCCCCTTCAAGCCATATATAAGTTATATATATAACTTTCGTCTGAAACACTTCTGCCTAAAATGCATAGTTTATGAAATATTCGACCGGTCTGTTACTTTTGGGACATCCTGTATATTTATAATAAAAAGTTTTTAAGAAATCCTTTAAAACAAAATCATCCGTGCACGAGTAATACGTAAAAAATTTTTGCTTAATTTTATTCGTTAATAAATTTTTTATTTTTTGATTTAAAAAAAATATTTAAAATGAATGTAACTAAGTTGCCACAGAAACGATGTTCTCCATTTCTTTAGCAATCGAATTCGCTATCAATTTTATGATAAAATTAAAACTTTTATTACAAGTAAATCACAAATATGACTATGATTTTATAATTCCAAATGAAAATTTTCTAATAAAACTCATAAAATTAATAGCAATTAAAAAAATAAAAATTTCTATATATAGCATTTTATTTTTTAACTCGACTGTATTTTTAAAATAGTGACTTTTTTCTAAAAATTTTTCTATTTTAATAACATATACATTATGCAGAATTTCGAGATTTTTTCAGAGTCACAAAAGTGGCTTTCTCAGCAGGGAACAGACGATCAAATGTAAAAAAATTTTATTTTCTCAAAAATGGTATATTTAGGGGTTTTCGATATCGCTGATTCCAATTCTAAGCATAAATTTATAAAATTATAGAAAAAATAAAATTTCGAGCATCTAATAGCAATATTGATAACATGAATGAATATAAACACATGGACTCATGAAGAAAATTTTCCTTTAACATTATCCAGAGCTAACGATGTGGACATAAAAAATTTGTAGCTCCTTTTAGACTTTTGGGTTTTTCATTATTTGTTTTGTTTTTAATATAGAAGAAGTCGCCATGTCGCGAAGAAGGGTATATTCCGGCGGTGCAAACAGAAAATTAGCCATGCATTGCGTGAGCAACGTGGGCTACATATACACATGTATATTTAATAAAAACATTTAGTATTTAAAATATCATTAATTTATTAGTAAACTCAAGAGCCACAAAAGTGGCTTTTCTGGCAGTCTAAAGGTTAATAAATTTTAATTATTATTTTTTATTTAATTTTTTTCAAATTTTATTATCTATTGATTTTGAAACTCTTCTGGGTTTATTTTCAAAGCAATAAAAGACTACGTTGAAACTTATATATTCGTAATCTATATATAATAAACTTCTGCCATAAAATTAATTCTGAATTTGATTGTTAAAATGGGAATGTTTTGATTACACTTTCTATTTCTTATACATTTTTTTTAATTTATCTGTTATACACTTTAAGTGAAACACTATATTTATTTTATTATAGTAATGATCATTTATATATTATAATTATTCTACATATATATATATATATACATATATATATATATATATATATATATATATATATATATGTATACGAGTAAAAGAAAAAGAAAGAGAGAAATATATATTCTTTCAATTGTTTTTATATTTTCTTTAAAAATTATATAAGTTAAGATTTTGCTTCACAATACAATATTGAATTATAAATTGCCAAAAAAATGAAATTAATAAATTCTTTTCTTACACAGTTGTGCTGTATATATGCATACATTCGTGAATTTGCATGCTACGATATTTAATAATTTCTTTTTCATTTCTTTCACACACAAAAAATTGTTTAAGGACTTCTTAACTCATTTTTTGTAATTCGTGGGTGCAAATTATGATACACTCTATATACGTCGCAATTTTTTTTTACTATCCATTATTAATGTTTGGCTGATGTAATGGTATGAATTGATACAAAGGACAAAATATTTTATCAATTTGTATCAATTTGTATTTGTTTGGCGAAAAAAAATTATACAATTTCTCAATCTTAATTCATAATTCAATATGATTATATTATAGTATAATTTAAATAAAATACTTAAAATAAAAAATTTAACTGTCTTGTTATATATATGTTTAACTTATATAATAAAACTTTTATTTTAGATCACACATGTAATTCTTCTAAATTTTTGCATGTTAAAAACAAATTTTATTCATAAATTAGCATATCAAGTTAGATTTTAAAATTAAAAGTAATTTTGGCTATATTAAAAGAAAAAATTAAATAAAAACTTTTTTTTATTTACACTTATATTTTAGCATTTGAAAATCTTAACCAAAAATGTAATATTTTTGAAATACAATTTTTTTAAAGCTTATTAAAATTTATAATTATCAAAATTAATATATATTTATATTGATAGTAATATAGATATTTTGAAATTATATATATATATATATATATATATATATATATATATATATATCAGTTTGTCGTAATATAAGCAATGTAAAATATAAAAAATATGTTTAACAAATGTAAATTTTACATATGTGTATATTTTATAATTTGACTTTGCAAATTAAAAAAGATAACTCATTTCTTTTCTAGTAATAATAATTTTTATTATTTTTTGAAATTGGTAATGATGATGTGTGTGAACTACTTTTTAAATCGTGTAATCGATAATAAATTATTTATATATATATATATATATATATATATATATATATATATACAGGGTGGGCCATTTTAAGTGATCCACTCAAATATTTCGGAAAATAATGAAAAATCAAAAAAATGTTTCAGATAAAAGTTGTATGGCTTGAAGGGGGCCATCAGATAGTGGCAATGATTTGACCTTGGAGAGTCATTTGAAGATGACGTAAAGGTAACCTTCAATTTCTTAAATGGAACTCCCTATTTTTTATTACATATTCGTGTAGCTTATCTCGAAAGCTTTCCAAAACACTATAATAAAGTATTTCTTCATTGAGTACTTGTCGAGTTATGAGGCTTGAAATCATTTCTTAATTTTACATAAACCGTAAAATATCTTGTAAAATATTCATTTTTCGATTATCTTACCTTAATACTTTTATGTACAAAATAATGAAAGAAATCAATTGGTGTAAAGAAAACACATAGTTGTTTTTAAGAAAAAAATATGTAATTTGCAATTAACAATTACATATTTTTTTTTTAAAACAATTTTACTAGATATTTTATGGTTTATGTAAAATTAATATATTATTTTAAGCCTCATAACTCGAAAAGTACTTCATGGAAAAATAATTTATTATAGTGTTTTGAAAAGCTCTCGAGATAAGCTAGAAGAATATGGAAAAGTATATAGGATGTCCCATTTAAAAAGTTGGAGGTGAACTTCACGTAATCTTCAGGTGACTCTTCAAGGTCAAATTAATGGCACCATCTTATGTCTCCCTTCAAGCCATACAATTTTTGTCTAAAACAACTTTATGTGAAAGTCATTTTGAATTTCTTAAATGGAACACCCTATATATTTTTGCATACTCTTGTAGCTTATCTCGAGAGTTTTCCAAAACACTATAATAAATTATTTTTCCATGAAGTACTTTTGGAGTTATGAGGATTGAAATCATTTCTTAATTCTACATAAACCATAAAATATCTTGTAAAATATTCATTTTTCGATTATCTTACCTTAATACTTTCATGTACAAAATAATGACAGAAATCGATTGGTGTGAAGAAAACATACAGTTGTTTTTAAGAAATTAACAATTCCATATTTTTTCTTAAAAACAACTGTATGTTTTCTTTACACCAATTGATTTCTGCTCATTATTTTGTACATAAAAGTATTAAGGTAAGATAATCGAAAAATGAATATTTTACAAGATATTTTATAGCTTATGTAAAATTAAGAAATGATTTCAAGCCTCACAACTCAAAAAGTACTTGATGAAAAAATGTTTATTTATAGTGTTTTGGAAACCTCTCGAGGTAAGCTACAAGAATATGCAAAAATATATAGGGTGTTCCATTTAAGAAATTCAAAATGACCTTCACGTAACCTTCATGTGACTCTTCAAGGTCAACTAATGGCACCATCTTATGTCCCCCTAGAAACCATACAACTTTTGTCTGAAACATCTTTTTCTAAAATTAAAAATAAGAAAGTTATTTGGAATGGGACATTAAAATGGAACACTCTGTATATATATAATTTAATTATTATTTAATTATTATTAAATTTAGGGAGAGCATTCAGAGGAAAACATTACTGAGGAAATGTTAGGCGCTGCATCTACATTGATAAGAGAATGGGCAGAGAGTGTATTAGGCTTGAAATTTCCAAATTTGAGTGCCTTAGCGCGGCATCTTGTTGATAATTTTCGTGTTGATACTCGATCTCTGGCTGCTGTATGTATTTTATCCACTTCAGAAGACCGTGATCCTTTATCTGATAAACGTGAGTACATTTGGAATTTCTCAAATATTAGTTTAATAAAATAAATTTCTCGTAAACTACTTTGCATTTTAATAACTCATTTTGAAAATTCTTAATTATTAAATTAATTGTTAAATTATTTATTATTAGAAGAAATTTCGGATTTACCAACAATGCCTCTGAATGTCAAACCTGCTAAATTGCGAGAGGCTCAATTACAGTTGCAACGTAAGCTTCAACAACGGGAGCATATAAAAGATCAGAAACGTCGTCATCTCGACACTATCATACAGGTATATACTATTTCCAAAGAGCTTATATGAAAAAAGAAATGCAAATAACCTTTATTTTTTTGTTTTTTATTTTTTAGATATACAGAGTTTTATATGAAATGTTATAAGAGTCTTTCTTCAAAATTTGACATCGCACAAGAAATGATTTAGATAAAATTTATATGATTTTAAGAGAAAAAATGGATCATTTTGAAATTTAATTAAGATCATTTTTCGAGATCATGTGATTCCTCACAATATTTGGTGTAAAAGTTAAGATAGGTTAGCCATAAATTTAATATTTTACAAGATATTTCTTTTTCTTCCCCCTCCTCTTTCCCTTTCTTTCTCTCTCATAGTTTATATAAAATTATGTTGAAATAAAATATAAAATATCTCGTAAACTATTTTTGGCCTTTCTGTTTTTATAACTTTTTATGTCAAATGTGAGACATCAATTTATATAAAAAAATTGGAACGATTCCATTTTAAAAAACTAGATCTTCAAAAATGATTTTAGTTAAAATTTAAAATTTTTAACTTTTTTCTCTCAAAATCCTATGAATTTTATTTAAAGCATTTTTTGTATCATGTCAAGTTAAAAAAAACACTTTGTAACATTTTATGTGAATTACTTTGTATAAAGAAATTAGAAAAATATACAATGCAAATTTTTATTTATTTATTTTCAAGATATTTAATTTCAAAAATTCTTTCTAGTATGAGATTAAAAGGGCTAAAATATGAAATATTTTTAATTTAACTAATGATTAATTGAGAGAATATAATTACATATTCAGAATAATTCTTTTTTTTTTCTAGAATAAAGAAAAAGTCATCGAAAATAAAGGAAATATTAGTAAAGGATACAAAAAAGTCAAATCTAACCAATCACCTCAAGGTACAAACACAGCAGCGACAACAGTGAGCGCACAAAATTCACTGACAAAATTAAATTTGTCTACTGTAGTCTACAACCGGCAAAAAAGGGTATCAAAAACCTGCAATCAACAGCAGCACCAGCAGCAGCAACAGTCCTGCAATGTTTCCGAAGAATCTAACTGTGATAATCTAGTAGTATCGCGTGAAGATAGACAGAATAATAGCAATCCTAGAATAATGAGTGTGCAACGCGATATCAAAAGTAAAAATTCCAGGAAACGTGCCAATAATCCAATTGTAACACAACAGGAGTCCAGCCCCGAGAAACAGACGAAACTTGCAGAAGAAAATTCAAAGCATTCCAACGTCTTGTTACCTAAGCTAGCGTCTATCCAACGTGCCGGTAAGATATCAGTGATACTAGCTAGCAATTCAAAATCTATCAAATGCAAAGCGGTCGAAGCCGCGGACAGTCAGCTTGCTAAAAACTGTGATATTGATTCGTCGAGTTGTTCCGCCACCAGTGCAATGGAAACATCCTCAGGACTTCTCACGAAGGATCAGATCCGCCTCTTGAAAGATGAAAAGGCTCGAGACATCGATACGGATGCATTGGACGATTATTTAAATGGCGGAAACAATTCGCAGGAGCAAGAGGAGGAATTACTGCAGTACTTCCAACAGAGCAACTCGTCTAGCTCTGATGTAGAAACCAGCGTCATTGGTTCTGATGCCGAACAGATTTCTCGATCCGATAAGGTATCACAATTGCGATTAATATTACAGGAGAACTTAAAGGCATCCACTATTACCGCTGATCTAGCGCCTGCAACTGTCGTTCGGCAAAGCGTTGCCACGGAAAAACGGGATTGCTCGCAGAAACACAACAATCTCATCCTCTCGACTCTGCTAAATCATAATTCAAGCAATACTCGTCGTCGTGTTAGTTTCGAAACGAATGTCGTCGAACATGCTCAGGAGGCAGCAACACTAAACGTAACCAATACTGTACCACAGAGTCCAAATACGCGACGCAGGATATTTAACTTCACCCCAATCTCGCCCGGCCCGCATTCTCCGATTAATGGTCGGGCATCCAAATCAAATTCAGCGAATGCCAGTCCATTCGTATCACCGCGTAATACCCCAGTGCCAAGATCACGCAGTAATTTGCAAGCTGGTAGTTCTAGAACGCGCAACCAAAAGACTCTCTCCCGCTCCATTTCTTGTAGTGTGCCGTATACTATCAAGACGACAGACACCTTTATCGTACCAACATCTACTGGAGCGGAACCCACGCGACAGATGCTGACAATTGCAACGACCAATTCATCGGAGGTGAGATTACAGAAAACAATGCAAATAAGCTCAATTATTACAGTCAGATATTTGTTTTTTTATGTCTTCATTTTTCATATTTTTATCTTGCTTTTAATATTATTTATATCTTTATTTATATATTTAAGAGCGCAACTCAACTATATTATTTTATATTTATTCTTTCGTGACGCATGTGTGTGTAAAATGAGAATATTATATAAAATAAATGTTAATTTTCATTGTGTGTATATATATTGAAATAAGTATAAAGAATGAATATGGGAAAAATTGTTGATAGGGAGATTTTTTTTTAGTTTGAATAAAATAAAAATATAAATATTTGATGGTAGATCTAAGTCTTTTTTATAATTATATCAAAAAAATATATTGGAAGCTGTTTCTACAATAATGACTTTTGAGATATTTAAGTTAAAGATTAATATTTAAAAAAAGTGTTAAATTTATGTGTCAAACAAATTATATTGTTTAAAAAATTTGTTCTAGAAAAATAATGATATCAAAAAATTGTGAAAATTGTGAAAATAGGAAAAATTGAAAATTATAAAATTTCATCCTTTTTGTATGCAATATGATTATTATCTTATTTAAATATTTGCATATATGTAAATTAATATTATTAGATAATCTATAAGATTGTATGTGCATATGTGTATATAGACACATAAAGTTCCTATTTGAATGGAAATATCTGTGTATACTTTTTAAACTTGACATTGCACGAAAAATATTTCAGACAAAATTTTATATGGTATTGAAGAGAAAGAAAAAGGTTCATAATTTTGAATTTTTATTAAAATTATTTTTCAATGTCATAAAGATCAACCTAGTGTTAAATGAACTTAGTTCAAATGAAATCATCTGAATTTTGAGATAACATTGATTCATTGTAACAAATTATAAGAATAGGATGGTCGAAAATTGAATAGTTTACAAGATATTTGACATAATTTTTTATGTGTTGAAACGTATATTTGCAATGAATAGTTACATATTTTTTCTTAAAAACATTAGTATTTTCTTTACACCAATTGATTTCTCTTATTATGTATAAAAATATTAAGGTAAAAAATAACTGAAAAATGAATATTTTATGGAATATTTTTATTTATATAATTTATGTAAAATAATAAGAATAATTCAGAAACATGCTTACAAAACCCAATAATATCCTTTATAGCTCAAAGAAAAAGAGAATTTATTTCTATAGGTCAAATTATATATATAATACATACATCTCGAATATTTTTATAATACTTCTCTAGTTCTGTATGAAATAGATCAAGAAAACATTAAAAAATCAAGATTTACAGTCTAAAACTATGTTTTATTTATTTTCAAATTTTTTGGACATGTTCTGCACACATGCCTTTCAATGAACATAAAATAATTTTTTCTTCTGGCATAAAAGAAGCAAAGATTAGAAATATGTGTAATTTATATATATAAATCATAAAATATATATAATCAAATAAAAGCATACAAATAAAATAAACATCTATAAAAAATATTTTCCGATGCAGGTCGCCCTAAAGGAATCGCCGTGCGCCGCATTTTTGGATCTAACACCGCAGAAACAATTACTAATCAATTATCCGAGCCAAGAGAATTTGCAAGAGATCAAGAATGTATATCAAAAAGGCCAGCCAGCCCCGCCTGATCAGGAGATCACAGAACTTCTTCATGCTGGTAGACATTTGAGTAGTGAACAATTATTCTACAGATCACAATCGGTACCATTGCATAGGATGGTGAATCCCGTACAATCCGTAATATCTCCAATTTCGACTCAACATAGCCTATCGACTGTGCAAAGTCAAAACTTTAATCCGTCAACGAGCAGTTCTGTTGCGCCTACTCCAGTACCGAGCGAATATAACGATTTCGGTCCCTCCATCGGACAAGAAAGTACGTACTTATTGGATGACACAAACTTTATGTCAGACGAGCAACAATTTTTAATGACAGACAAAGGAATCACATCCGAAAACATTAATAACATTCTTACAATTTTGGACGAAGAAGGCCAGTCGAATTTACAGATGTCCCCAGAACAGACTACAGAAGAGACATTGAACAACGCGATCAATCTTGCTTTACCGAATACGAATCTAAATTTATCGGAAGAAGATATGTTAGATCCATCAAGTATCCTCAGTGACGCTGGTGCATTACAGAAAATAATTCAATCACGTTCGTATCCTAATACGCCATTGCCGGTACCAGTGTCAGTATATACGCCATCATATATCGAAGACAGTAATGGTTCTAGGTCGTATCCATCAACGCCTTTGCATACGGTACAATCCCAAGAGGTGTATCAGGATCCAGGCGAGCCGATACTTTCCAGTCCCATTCTTAATTCTCTCAGTTTACAGAACGACACAATAAATGTTGCCGTTGCTACTGTTACCGGCGCCACTGCCGGCACTGATGTCGACACTGCCGCAACCACTTCTTCCAATAATCTGTGCAGAAATGTTGCTGACTTTTTGGAGGCTAATTTTCTTGGAGAAACGGACACAGAGACGGATGATCTAGATCCGCTCGGTAATTTCGACGGCCTGCAAGATATGGATTCGTTGACACCACTGTTCAACGAAGTCACGGAGCCTAATCGCTAAAACTATTTTTTTCATCTATCGTAATTTTGCATTTGCACAGGGAGAAGTGTAATAAACTATAGACTGTTTAAGTCCGGTGGTTCTCAGTCGTATTACTTTATAGACCATTTTAGAATAAATGAGAAAAGATTATCAAGCAAGGTGTATAAGTAAATTTTAGTAAATAATTAAGATATTATTCAATTTTAAGTAGTAGGATACTTCGAATTTTCTGTATCTACTGCGATATGTAATTTAACCATATGACAGTTATAAATATTTTAATTATTTTTTACTACAAATTTTTATGTATATAGATTCTTTATAGAAGAAATTATTTCAGCTTATAGTAAATTATATTTTAACATGCAATTTACTATGCAGGCTGTATCGACGACTGTTTAATCTTTATTGCAATAAAAATAGTATTGAAAATTGGTCGAATTTTCTGAAATTTTGAAAAACTCGCGATTTTTTAAATATATGTTTATATATAAATTATTAAAGATAATGTACATCGATGATATACATTTTAGTACATATGATATATATATATATATATATATATATATATATATATATATCATATGTACGTACCATGAAGTAAGAGAGAGGAGATCGAACTTGATAGCGCGCGAGTAGAGAAAATGGTCCCGATTTGTGGCTCTTAAGGTGAAATCACACGGTATATAGCGTGCGGAATAGAAAGTGTGTCATAGATCAGCCAATCAGCGTTATTCCGCATTACGCATTACGCACGCTTTGGTGTGCTCTGTTCACATGGTACGTAAATGACTTAAAAGACTGAAAAAAATTTGAAATATGTTTTAAAAATTGAAAAAATTAATTAGAATATATAAACTATTGTAACGTAAATAATCTTTTATACAATTTGAGACATAATATATCATAAAGACAGTTAATCAAAACAAAAATAAATTTTATTTTCTAAATTATATCTGTATTGGATACGTCAAAAAACCTTCTATGACTATATGTGAACAGAGCACACTGAAATCGTGCGTGATGCGGAATGCGTGTTTGTGTAAGTTTCTTAGCATTTGCTAACGGAATTTGATTTTGGAGCATCTGTCTCGTTTTGTATTTTTAATTACAAACTTTCAATAAAATAATGAAGAAGTTTATAGTACGTGAAACGATGAAATATTTAATGAAAATATATCTCAGAAATCCGATGCTGCATCATCGTAAAGAAAAATTAAGACAAACGTTAAATTAGCAAAACATGAATGTTCTACCAGATTAAAATTTGTTTTCGGTAACTTGAAATTACAGTGCATGCATTAATAATACTGTAACACAGAATACAAGAAATGTTATTAAATCTACAAAAATTCGCATTTTTTTAAAAATACTAGACTTTTTTTACTCATTTACACTAGATTGTGGTTCACTCATGTTGTTAATATCACTATCTATGTCTATTTATTTTAATAATAAACTTTTCTTTTCATTTTAAAATGACCCTTACGACGGACGTATTTCAAATCTGTGATGCACTCGCAGATGACATGAAAAAGTACAGAAATAGTGCGGAATAGCGCTGATTGGCTGTTCTATGACGCACTTTCTATTCCGTACACTGCGCGACAACGATTCGTTCCGAGGCTCCTCTCTCGCGGGACAAGGGGAGCGTAGAAGTGACCAATCAGCTGGCAGCGTGGCAGTGGCTGATTGGTTAGGGGCTACGCTCCCCTTGCCCCGTGAGAGGGATCGCGGAACGAATCGTTGTCGCGGAGTGTACGTTCTATTCCGTACCGTGTGATTTCACCCTTAATTGAAAGGAAAGGCTATAGCACACACTTTCCATAAGACATAACAATAAGGTTTCGACCAATCGCGTTGCTCAATTTGGCCGTCCGTAACCAAATTGAACAACGCGATTGGTCGAAACCTTACTGTTATGTCTTATGGAAAGTGGTCCTATAGTCTGAAGTCCGCTGAAAAGAACATAGATAAGATAAAGATGGAGCATAAATCCAATATTTAGACGGGGGGGTGAAGCCACTGCGGGAGGAGCGATGAGGTAAACTGTGAGCACTTTTCATTGGATGAAATGATGCGCACGCGCAATGACGTTTAATACGAAATATGTTAACGTCTCTAATCTTATAAATAATTGAAAAAAAAAAGAAATAAGAAATTAAAAAAGGAAAATAAAATATATTTTTCAATACAATGGAAATATATTGTTTTGGATAATAAAAGGTAATGAAGAATATCTCGGAATCAAGATTTAAGCTTAAAATATATCTAAAACATTTTTTCCGTGCAAATTGTAAAAAGGTTTTTCTTCCTTGAAGAATCTTTTTTTCCTCCTTTGGTGATGCATCCGCATATCCAACATGCCATTTTTATCATGAAAAGTGCATAAAGCCACAGGTAAACAATTGAGATAAAGCCGGGCTGGCCGGGTAAGGTTACCCAGGTAGTAAGCACACGTCATTTTGACGTTCCAAACTGGTCATTTTTGATCATATGTCGTCAAAATGACTGATTTGTTACATGACTTTATATTAACGTTTTGATATAACATTATTTTGGTCATTTTTCAGTCATGAAGTGACAATTATTTTATTATTAATATCATTAGTTAATATATCCATCCCATAAAAAATCTTTTAAAATTTTTTATATAACATGACTTTCGCGATCAGACTTTAACAATTGTTAAAGTAAAATTTACTGTAAAACCAGTAAATTTCACTGTAAAACCAATAATCGCTAGTTCGTTCGTTTACCGCTATGATCGCTATCTCTCTCGTATTTAATTTTAGTCATGAGCATTATATGTATAAAGTTTGCAAAGAGTGACAGATAAAATTAGAAATATTACTTTGCTTTAATTTCTGATACAATCCCAATAGAGAGACTTCAGATATTAAATCTGTTGTTTTATAAAGTGTTTATTCAATACTGCACATATTATATGAGAGATTAGCAGAGATTACAATCAAAAGATTTTTGTAGAGAAAAGGAAGAAGAAGTGAAACGGTAAGCGTGCGCAGCTGTGACATCACGTCCGTCTCAGACTTTAATGCCGCCTATATCGACCTAACCCGCGTGTATTTAAACATATTGTTACGCCCGGGGCGAGGACTTCGAAACATATCAAAGGCGCGCTCAAAGAAATCGGTCGCTCGCGAGACGCGGGAAATAAATAAGCACTTTGGAGGAAACTAAAAAACTTTAATGCAACATAGAAACACAAGCGATATCACAACACGTTAATTACACACAATAATAATAACACGGATCGGCTCGAATGAGAAACGCGTCCGCTTAGCTTGACAGCTGGCCCAGACTCAAATGACAGCTGCTGCTGTCAACAACTTCTTGACGACAGAGTTTTTCTTTTTTTGAGACGGACTTGACCGCGACTTGAACCAGGGACGTAACACTTGCCCTCTTCTACGAAAGATTGTCGTCCCGATAATCACGTTGTGGCAAGTTTCCACAGGAATCTCGTCGGATTACAGTTTCCGATGTGTCTCCTTGTTCTCCCTGAACTGCTGTTGCAGGTTACCGAACTACACATTTTCTTGGGATTAAACGACTTCACTGATTTCAGAAATCTTCTCCACAGAGAAAAATCTTCAGGCAAGAGGGGGGTATCTTCCCGTGGACCCTCCGTTCTCCCAAGAGAACTCTTCAGGCCCCTGCCTCGGCATTCGCCAGAAAATCCACGGGAAAACCACGAGTCAAAAACCATGGGTGAGGTAGCCTAAATCCCTGTTGGTTATGGTCGATCCGATATCTTCCGTTTTCCAGTTCTACTTTTAGCCTTTCTCTCCCTCGTCGTCAAATTTTCCTTTAAACAGTAGAACAATAAAACGCGAGTTACAAGCACCAAATTTTTCCTTCCAAAACTTTCTTTTCGGGCCTCGGATGTAAAACCATTCCCTAATCAAAAAAATAAATTTGGGAGTCCCTCCCATAATTTTTCGAGGATTTCTCTACCAATGTCAATTTGTTCAAGGAAATGATTAGAACCGATACGACCGTCATCTAAACAAATACCGGAAATCACGAAAATTGCCATCCAGGTATACTAAAGAAAGAATCAATCCTCTTTCCGAGATATATCCGAGCCCGCCTTAATTTATACACACCAGTAGCAAATAAATTTTCATTAACAAAAAGCTTAAAACTTTTTTACAAATTACTTTTCTATGCCAAAATTCATTTTTATGCTAAGCATTACTTCTCTTTTTTAGAGGGACATTCCGCCCGAAAATGGTCTAAATTACCACACTCCCAACATTCCTGAGATTTATTCTCGCTATTAAAATCAGTATATTTTTCAAAATTATCGTCCCGTATTTCTTTAATGGCTTTAGCCCTTTGTATAGATGCTTTCAAAGAAATAAAGCCCTCTAACTGTAACGTTTTTTTTTTAAGAAAACCATCTGACAGCGTGGCTATAAACTGGGCGCAAGCAATTTTATCTCTCACTTCGTGAGAACACTCGGGGTAAGCAAGACGCGAAAGTCTTTCCAGATCTGAACCCAAAGTAGCCAAATCTTCCGAAGTTCTTTGTTTCTTATTGATAAATTGGGAATAATAAGTTTGAGCCAAATGTCCCTTTCCGAAACGCAACTCCAACTTGGATTTTAAATCGTCAAATTTTAAACTCTCTATTTCAAGTATTCCGTCTAAAATTGAACGCGCTTTTCCCCTTAAACATGCGGCCAAAGCTACGGTTTTCTGTGAATCGCTCCAGTTATTAGCCTGGACTGTCGGAATAAATTGAGTAAGAAACTCGCGCAAGGGTACTTCTGTCGTAATTGTCGTTGTTTTTAATTTGAAGCCTAATTCGGAATTTGAAGAATTTTCTAAACGCGCTTTATTAAAAGGATTTAGCTGTCGTTCTCGGAGAAGTCTTCCCTCCAGACGTCGGAGCTCACTGTCCCGCTCCCGGAGCTGCGCCTCAAATTCGGCTCGCATCTGAAGACGTGCCTCCCACAGCTCTCGAATCTCTCGCATTGCCGTCTGGAGCGTAATCGTCTCCGTCGACGGTCCGGGAGTCGCGGCTCGCATCCTCTTACGTATGGAGACACCAGAAGTCAGATCTTGCTGCTCGTTACTTGTTGACATTTTAACACGTTTTAACTCTCAGAATCACAGAATCATAGTCCGCACTATCCCTTCGTATCCCGGAGCCCCCAAAATGTTACCCGGGGCGAGGACTTTGATATATATCGAAGGCGCGCTCAAAAAAATCGGCCGCTCGCGAAACGCGGGAAATAAATAAGCACTTTGAAGAAAACTAAAGAACTTTAATGCAACACAGAAACACAAGCGATATCACAACACGTTAATTACACACAATAATAATAACACGGATCGGCTCAAATGAGAAACGCATCCGCTCAGTTTGACAGCTGGCCCAGACTTAAATGACAGCCGCTGCTGTCAACAACTTCTTGACGACGGAGTTCTTCTCTTTTCGAAACGGACTCGACCGCGACTCGAACCAGGGATGTAACAATATATTTTTATACAAAATCAATTTTATAAGTCGGACAAATAAATGTCTGGTTACTTAATGAAAATTATAAGTTCGTCTATTTAAAATAACAAGTTCAACATACATGTAATATAAATAAAATAAAATTTTTAATATAATAAATATTTAGTAAATATAAATAAAATTTTTAATTTTATATATATTTATTTATATTAATATATATTTATTTATTTTTATATTTATTATTATATTTTATATTTTTATATTTATATTATATTTATGAAATAGATAGAGATGAATTGTAGTTTAATATTACTGGTAATAACGAAAGAAATATTACTGAGATATTACTTACTGATTGAAATAGTCAAAATTATTAACTGATCTTTCAATAAAATATCACTGATTTTTACAGTGCTATATTTATAACTGCTATAATCAGTGACTATTTACTGTTTTTCAGTGATAATATACTGATTTATTTTTAGACAGTGCTTTATTCGACAATACTATTAAATATATTTTTATGCTAAGAAAAAGACGTCAAAATATGGTACATTTTATGACGTCAAAATGCGATACATGTCATGACGTCAAGACATTAGACCGTCACTTTTACGTCACAAAAACGTCAATTCATGACGTCAAGAATAGTCAGTGAATGACCAATTTGAAACGTCAAAATGACGTGTGCTTGCTACCTGGATAATAATTGCAAATGGTGCCCAACCATAAGAAACTATTCTTTTCAGCGGACTTCCTCTCAATTAAGGGTGAAATCACACGGTACGGAATAGAGCATGCGGAATAGAAAGTGCGTCACGTAATTAAAACGTTTAGTGGTTAATCGTTTTTTTTAATTACAAATTTAAAAAATGTTGCTATAAAGTTAACCGGATTTCTTTATTTTTAATCTAAATCGATTAAATCAGAGCTTTTTCGATGCAGAATCGCTTAGTGATGATTGGTAGTCTAATTAAATTAAAGAAATGTCCGGTTAACTTTACAACATCATTTTAATTTTTTAATTGAAAAAAAAACGATTAATCACCAAACGTTTTAATTAGACTACCAATCACCGTCAAACGATTCTGCATCGAAAAAGCCCTGATTTAATCGATTTAGACTAAAAATAAAAAATGTCCAGTTAATTTTACAGTAACATTTTAATTTTTTAATTAAAAAAAAACGATTAACCAAACGTTTTAATTAAACTACCAATCATCACCAAACGATCACTAAACGATTAGATAAGTTAAATTATAAAAAAGTTAAAGTGGTCCAGCTAACTTTACGGAGCTACCACTAAGAGCCTCCGCACAAGGTGTTCCGTATCGCATTACGTTATGTTAAGTATCAATGGTAAATTTAATTCCGTACGTAAACTTAAACTTCAGTCAACGCACAGAAAAAATCGTTACGTAAAGACATGTCTTTCGACCGATTCGATATCGATCGTATAAATCGGAGCACTCGCTCCGGAAATGCGATAGGGTTGTTCACGTCGACCGACAGGATGATTCAACGCGTGCGGCGATCTGCCGCTGGCGAGAAACGTCTTTGGCGACGCGCTGGGCTCGCACGACGCGAGACTTAATGCTGGCGGTGGTCGCTCCTGCGTCGGCGGGATAGTAAGTCTATGATCCTGCTCGATTTCTACTATCAATCTGCTGTCGGTTTATGCTGACAGATTCTGCTAGCAGAACCTAAGCTTAATGCGGACGCAGTTGATGCCAATCTGCCACAATCTTCTGTTTGAATCTGCTCGCATGCTGCTGGCAGACTGCTAACATTTTGCTTACTGGGTGTATATATTTTTACGTGTATATATTTTTACTCATATACTCCAGTTTGCGTTTGTGTCATATCACGCCATATTGCTTTTGACAGTTTATAGAACAGAAAGAAAAAGCATAGAGGCCATTCAACGTTCTCTCTCTGTTTTAAACTGTCAATATCCGGCTTCACCCTCCTCACCTATAAACTATATGAAAGCTTGTTCTAGTTATATACGTCATTGTTACGATTGGAATGGCATTTTCTTTTAACCTTGTTCGCATTAGGGAGCTACGATCAAAGCTACTTTCAAAACTGCAATGAGCATAAATGTGAAGATTTCGGTAAGTATTCATATTAAGTAATCATAGTATTCATAGTAATATTCATAGTAAGTATTCATAGTAGGTACTCATATTTTTTATCCAAGTTAATTTTCTTCCTTCATCTTTTGGAAATCTAGTAAGACAAATCAATATAATAATTATAAGATTATAATAACCTCACGTATTAGAATTTAACAATATTTAACGAAAATTTATTTAAACAGTAAAAACTTTTACATTGAACCTTATTTCATTATTAATATAAAATAAAAGTAAATTTTAGTTTGTAGTTAGGTTTTGAATACAATACTTAGGCCCGGTTCCACAACTCGAGTTAATCCGAGTTTAATATGTTAAATGGGGTCCTGATTGGTCCATTCACTACTTAAACTCGGATTAACTAGATTATGGAACTGAGCCTTACTGGTGGTATGTGATTTCAACATCTTGCTCCACATTTTTTTGCACTACGCAGCTTTGCGGTAACTTTTGTTGTAACAGCCGATTGCAACACAAAGCGGTATTTTTTATATTTTCATACAATAAATTAATAAAATTAATAAAATTTCACACAATAAAATAATTTGACAACACTTGATGACACTGTTATTTTATTATTAATTCATTATTCTGTCACTATGAAGCAGCACTAATGTCGCCAGACAATATGGCGGCTCCCTCCTCCCCTTTGAGTATATAGACATGGAAGAGGAATGCCAGCACCGAAAGTGTGTACAAAATCTGTGCGAGAGAGAAAGGTATAGAATAATACTCGTCCTCTTTGCGTCAAATACATTATGAATGCTATAAGTTACAATGGCTGATTGCATTCCGTAAAGTGCATATGCGTTCATTTTCTACAGTAAACGTAACGTTTATTGTAGAAAAATACGCGCATATTTACGGAATCCAAATAATGTTTATCTCAGCTGAAATGAGTAACAGATGCCAAAGCATTATAAATGGCATTATATTAGAACAGTGCTGGGATTTACTTGCAACTTTCGGCCAGATTTCTTAGCTTACGCCTACTGTTCCCCTCTTACTGCTCGCTCCTTAGCGACCGCGCCACCGAACGCTCGTAACTAAGGAACGCTCAGGAACGTGCGCGTCACAAATGTTATGTGGCAATCTATCTAAGTTCTCTTTATTGTTTATTAATAATAAAAATAAGTATTCTATTATTAATTACGTATATGTTCTGTAACAATTTAAAATATTTGTGTTTTGAAACGTAATTACAATAAGAGAATTTAGATAGATAGATTGCCACATTACATTTGTGACGCACACGTTCCTGAACGCTTCTTAGTTACGAGCGACGCGAGAGGTAAGAGGGAAACAGTAGGCGTAAGCTAAGAAATTCGGCCGAAAGTTGCAAGTAAATCCCAGCACTGTATTAGAATATAAATATATTTGTATATAAAGTGCATTATTGGTTTAGTAGGGTGGTAAACGGATTATTATATTAGAATGATAAAGGAATAAATAAATTTTAATATATACAATTTAATATATAAGACAATTTTTATTGATGATTAAAATGGATTATTTTGTAAACTTACGTCTAATATATTTTTTGTGTAAGAAATCCACACGAAAATCCGCATGAATAGCGGATTTGGCCTCATGGAATAAACGTAAATTTATATAAATTGTAATAATCCCCAATAGCCAAGTCTGCTAAAGCAGATCTTGTCAGGGAATCTGTTAGAAATTGTTGTCGACAGAAAGATTACAGAATCGATGCAGGTTCAGGAGATCTATTCTGTATCTTTTATCGTTATCGTTATATACCGAAAATCATCGCTTGCGCTAACGACATTATAACGATAAGGATATTCTATAAGTCTTTCTAACGACATGGCATCGATACAAAATAGGATAGCGACATCGTTATCAAAACGATAAAACTCGGTTCGAAGTAACTCTAATATTGTTCTATTCAGCCAATCAAAGCTCAGTATTTTTATAGTGAGTTTAGGAACGCACAAGTTTCATTTGTTGACTAAAAGAAAAACGAACTAAACTGTAAGTATAATACATATTTTGATTAAATAAAAATATTATTTACAGAAATATGACAAAAAGACAGGCAAGAGCTACATCTCGACAAATAGAAGCGCTTGTCACGTACTTGGAGCAACATCCACATGTGGCATCAGGAAAATTTTATACATTGGAGGGCAAGAACACCTTACAAGGAAATTTACAGGTACATCTTCCACACGTTTAGGAGTGCAGTTACATGAAGCTCGACAATCATTTGAAAAGATTGCAGATAAACATGCAGAAGCAATGCGAGTTGGTATTCTTATTAATAATTACATGAAACAATTTTTTTAAACAGTTTTTATTTTAATAATATACTTTTTTTATAGATGTTAGCTGAAGCAATGAAACTTCAAGCAGAAGCTCTCGTTCAATTAGGCCAAGTTATTGATAAATTCATAAATAAAGAAACTAGTTGTGACAGAAATATTATTGATAATGAATATTAACAGATTAAGTATTGCATTTAATTAGTATGTAGTATTTCCAGAATCCAAAGATGTCTTTCAAAGAGTTATGTTTGAGAAGAGTTATGTTTGAGTTATGAAAGAGAATGTTTTATGTTTTGTTATTATAAAATGTAAATTATTTTTAATACGTAATATATACATTAAAACTGGAAAATTATAGAAAAGGAGAAACAAAAAATACATATGTTTTGTTGCTTGATATTAGTTTTATAAATTTATTTTTTCCATTATTTTATATTCTACGACTTAAGGCGTAATGTATGTAAATGAAAAGCGTTTGCTCTATAATGTTTGAAGTTTCATTGCTTCAGCTAACATCTATAAAAAAAGTATATTATTAAAATAAAAACTGTTTAAAAAAAAATGTTTCATGTAATTATTAATAAGAATACCAACTCGCATTGCTTCTGCATGTTTATCTGCAATCTTTTTAAATGATTGTCGAGCTTCATGTAACTGCACTTCTAAATGTGTGGAAGATGTACCTGTAAATTTCAAAAATAATAGTATTATATTAAATGCAGATTTTATATATAAGACAGATATTAATTTTGTATTATAATTACGTCTTGTACGGATCGATTGTGTGCTGGAGGATATGTCTTGTCCATTGGATTATGTATTAGAAAGAATGTCTGATTCTAAAATGTTTGTTGATTGCGAAGTAGAAGGTATGTTTCTTAATTGATAAACTAATTTAATTTTTATACAATTATGCGATAATACAAATTAATATTTTCAGTATTTTTCAGTTATTTTCGTTATCCAATGCAGAACGATAATTAGGAAACCACTCTTGTATTATTTGATTCTGTATACGTTGCGCAACAGCTCTGGGTCCTCTGTGATTCATTACTTCTTCTCTTGCTTCTGCATCTTCAACATATACGTTCTCAGCTGCACATAGAATCTCATTATTTTCTTCCATTGGTAGTCGATAATGTTGTCGCATATTATGCAACACTGCGCACGCATTTACAATTTGTCCGGCAATTTCAGGTGCATGCATTAACACACGTTGATATGATAGATATCTCCATGTTCCTTTCAATACTCCAAAAAATCTTTCAACAACATTTCGTGCTTTACACAGTCTTTCGTTGTATTGAAATTGTTGACTCCATGGAGGATAGTGAGGTAATGGTGTCATCAACCAGGGTTCCAAAGGATATCCATCATCTCCTATGTATATAAATTCAAATAATATATCAAATAAGACTAAAAAATAAAAATATATATCTTAAAAATTAGTTTTAAAAGCAATAAAAAATATAATAAAAACACACTAAAAAATAAATTAAAAATAAATATATATATTTTTTTCTTTTTAAAATACCTATTACAAACAAAATTATAAATCATACCAATCACATAAGTTCTTCTTTCACCATTGTTATAAAAATGTTCCATTATATGTCTAATGGGAGAAGCATTCCATATAAATGCATCATGTCGTGCACCCGGATAACGTGCATTAATATTTAATATTTTTAAGTCTGGATCGACTATCTGTAAAAATGTAATTATATACATATATTCTATTATCATATTGTTCTTATTATTAACGATAAAGATTATTATTAACATTGCAACACAGAAATAAAAACTGTTATTTATACGTTTTAAGAATTATTAAGTACATAAATATAATAATGTATAAATTATAATTATGTAGAACAAGATTGTACTTACTGCTTGTACATTTAATGAATGATTTCCATGATGGTTTACATATGCCTCTTCATGTAAACGTGGTGCGAGAAGATTAATATAAGTGCAGTCTATAGCACCAATGGCACCAGGAAATGGTTGACGAGCATTTGCAAATTTGTTTCGTGCAGCAGTTCTCTCTTGTTGTGTCATTGGAAATTTTATCCATTGTCGTAATAAATATCTATTTATTAACCATGTTACTTTTCGTATACAACGACTGGTGGATGGTTGACTTAAAGCAAACTCACATTGATTTCCTGCTGGTCTTTGGTAACTTCCATTAGCGAAGAATTCAACTGCTACTAATACTGCAATTTCTGGAGCTAAACCATTTCTACGTAGTGGTTGTAAATGTGGTCTTAACATATCTGTTAGATCCATAAGTAATTCTTTATTAAGTCTGTAAGCTGCCAAAAATTCTCTATTAGGAAGTTCAAAAGGATTTTGTGCATCACGAAGCAATCTTCTTTCAATCTTTCTTTCCATAATTCTGACTCTTTCTTCCAAAAGAAGTAAATTCCATGCTAAATATCCTTCAGCCATATTCCTAAAATTATAAATGCAATGAAAATAATAAATCTATTTTTATAGATTTGCAATATAAATATAGATAGTAATTGTATAAATAGTAACAAAATAAATATATTTTTAGCATATATTTTTATATATGCTAAAAATATATTTATTTTGTTACTATTTATACAATTACTATCAATGTTTATATTGCATTTCTTGTTAGTATTGATACTTACATATATATAATTTATATAACAAACATTATAAATATTTTTTTTCTTAAAAAAATTTGAGACAATGATATGTATTAAATAATAATAACAGTCATAATTTTTATTTCTTACCTTATATTTTTAATTTTTGTCGCACTTTCTTAGTGAGGTTAAGAACAATATACACATTGACATATACGCGTCAAAGAGAGTCGATAAAGCTAAGGCGTGAGGTCTGAGACTCCTCGATAGCATAACGACAGAATTTGGTTTCTTACCGACAATTTTAACGACATTATCATTTTGATTTGAATTATAGAATACAACTTTCGTTAAAATTGCAGCAACGATTAACGAGAGAGTCCTATTTTGAATTGGCCAATTGGCGACGTGGTCAATCGGGTGCCACCCGTCAAAACTGTAGTACAGGTTGCGATGTTGATGCATGCGCAGAGAGGACGAATATCACTCTATACCTTTCTCTCTCGCACAGACTTTGAACACATATTCGGTCTATAGGAAACCAAGCAATTCCTCCTCCATGTCTATATACTCAAAGCTCCTCCTCTAAAATCTTCACCCCGCGCATGAAAGCTCCGTCCAAGTATAGACGAAATAATATTGTTTTTCCACTTTTTATTAATAGAATAAAGAATGATAATTATATGTTCTAAACTATCCTTGGTTAATAAAAAACTGATATGCAAAAGATGATACTGAACTATGTTATTGTTATCGAGAAAAGCCGTAAGAGCCGATCCGAGCTCGGTGAAACGCATACTTCCTCCGTTTTTTGCCAACCGTAGATTGGCAGCAGTCAGGAATAACAAATTATTTGTTCAATAATCTAGATCCCTTATTAGGATTCAGAATATTAAGAAAAAACCAAGTCAGTTTATCAGAAATTAAACTGACACAAGACAAAAAATATAATTACTAAAGCTTTATAAATGTGAGTTTTCTCGTCCGCTATTTTTCTTCCAACTGCATGAAAGGTTAGGTATGTTTTCATACATGTCAATACGCATTGATTGTACATACATACACCTTTTGATCTCGCGATTAATCTAAAAATTAATTTTAAATATCGATTCTGTTGAACTGAAAATAAGTGTTAATTGATTCTTAATTAATTAGACATGTGTTCTTAAACGCGCAAGTAGAAAGTGTCATATTTTTCGTAAATCAACATATCGTGTCTCCGTTTCATTGCACGTTTCTGAAGTAACACATATTGGGAATAATTTCAAGGATTAAAGGCATGTTATTAAATAATACTCATTGCAAAAATTGTCTTTATGTTGCAGTTTTGTCATATTTTCACATATTTGTATTTTTAAGTTAAGTTTTGGCTATTTGTAAATTACATTTTGTAAATTAAATTATATATTGCATTTTGAAAACACCATTAGAACTTTATGCGACGATGAAACGAAGACACAATGTGTTTATAACTTCGAGACTGTAAAGATTATTGACGTTTGACGTATACGAAACATACCTAACCTTCACATATAGTTGGAAGAAAAATGGCGGACGAGAATACCTAACTGCTTTTTTAGTCCCGATACAATAGATAATTTAAGCCCTAAATCTTAAGAAATTGACCAATCACAGCCCAGTATTCTCTTCATACTTGACTGTGATTGGTTAATCTCTTAAGGCTTAAATTACATACCCGGCCTTAAGGCCGCAGCACACACTTTTGCATAAGCGCATAATCATAAGCATAAGAAAATTGATTGGTTCATTTTCTTATGCATATACTTGGGGACCAATCAATTTCCTTATGCTTATGGTTATGCGCTTATGCAAAAGTGTGTGCTGCGGCCTTTAAGGTTTTCGCACATTAATTGCCATAACCATAAACGTAAAATGTAAACGTAAGCTGAAGAACCAATCAGAATATTGCTTTAGTTTTATGTATCCTAGAAGACGATAGAAATGATGATAAAGTTGGCCGTAAGCAGAAGTAACTAGGATTTCAACCAGTTGAAACTCGAGTTAATCGAAGTTTAATACGTTAAACTGGGTCCTGATTGGTCCATTCACTACTTAAACTCGGATTAACTGCATTGTGGAACTGGGTCTGAGGCCGCTGAATGCGGCCTATGTTAGCAGTTTAGTATGATATATAAAAGCCTGTGGATATATGTATTTTTTCAGGATAGTAGCACATTACTTCTTTGTTCGCTATAACAATAAAGAGTAAGATTCGGTCATCAATTTTGAAAGTTTTACGGTAAAGCGGTTTACGATATTGCAGTTTACGAAATGTTGCGTAAGTATACAAAAAAATTCGAACCAATTAATACTAATCTTTTTTATGAATATTCTATAATTATTTTCTATCCACACAGCATAAATCATTTCAATTATGAGTATTTTCTAGCAAGTTACACAAATGACGCAGCGTGTGTAATATTCTCCAACATAGTGTGTTTTAATAGTGACATAGTATAACATTACTCGACACAATAGAAACCTAAGTACAAGCGTAATGTAAATCTTCCATATCAAATATTGCAATAATATTTATAGTAAATATATTTAAGAAAAACTTCATTTTATAAGTGTAAACTGTTAGAAGTCATAATAATTTCTCTATATTTTTTATTATAATCTGTTATATATTTTTTTTGTTTTATTATAATCTGTTATATATTTTTTATAAATGATTTGTTATATTTTTTAAATGCTTTTTGCCTTGTTTTATTGAAAAATATATAAATATTTAAATATATAAATAAAAATATATATACATATATATAAAACATAAAATATAAAATAAATAAATAAAAAAATATATATATAGTATTAAATATAACACACACACACACACACACACATATACTGGATGAAGAAAAAGTATGAAAACTCTGGAAAAATTTTGAAAAATATAAGTCTTACAGAAAATTATTTCGGATTAGTAGGGTTTAAAATGATCTGTTTATTAATCTTATCAGTTTGACTTTGAATGGTGTCGATCAGGACAATGACCGATCTTTAATTATTTAAGTGGAAAACTTCCTATTTTTATTATATATATTCTTGTATATCTTCTTTTAAAAGCTTTCAAAAACATTATAATTAAGTTATTTTTCATTAAGTATTTTTCGAGTTATAAGACAAAATAATTTCTTAATTTTTCGAAATTTTTCCAATTTAAATATAAGATATAAAAATATAAATATAAATATTTAAAAAATATATAAATATAAAAATTTTAAAAATATATAAATATAAAAATTACATAATTCTTGAAAATGTTTCTGATTGGCCACTTGAAAAACGTTAAGAAATATCTTTCTTTTCTGACAAAAAAAAACGTTTAAATTATTTAAAATATTACGTTTTTTTTCTTGTATTTGTTAAACGTTTGTTTTTTCATGGAATTAATAAAATAATGCATTCATACACACTCTCTAAAAGTGAATCAGTATTATCACTGAAAACAATAAATAGATTCACGGAATATAGCAGCTATAAGTTATTACTCATATAGCTGAAAGGTTGTAAATATATTGCAGAATATTGCAGATAATTTCATTGAAACATTGCAATATTGCAAATCGATTGCGAAACTTTGCTGTAAAGTTGCGGCAACATTAAGATGTCCACTTTTTGTAATATTACAACGAAGTATCGCAGCAATATTGCACTATAATATATTTGAAAAAATGCAATGTTGCTGCAATCATGTAGCAATATTGCATATAAAACATTTTTTCGAAATAATTCTTGATACATGAATTTTGGAAGTTTATGAAAAACATAAAATAAAAAATTTTGATATAAATAAAAATTTGTAATGATTGTATTCAAGATAATATATTGTCATATTTAAACATGTATATTTAGATTTTATTATATCTAAATATATATATTTAAATATATATTATATATTATATATATATCTAAATATATATATTTAGATATAATAAAATTTATGACTTTGTAATATGTTATCTTGAATAAAATCATTGCAAACTTTTATTTATATCAAGTTTTTTCATTTATATTTCTATATACTCTTACAATGATATAAAAGAACAAATATTAGTTAGAATTAATTACATATTTTTATTTAAAACTTATTAAGATCCATTTACATATATGTGTATGTGAAAAATACATAGAAATAATGTACAGAAAAACAAAAATAAAATATAAAATAAAATGTTCTATAAGATAATAAAAAAATATATATATTCAATGAAGAAAAATCTGTTTAATATTCTGAATCCCAACGAGTTATTTGTTTAATAATCTAGATCCTTTATTAGGATTTAGAATATTAAATAAATCAAGTTTATCATAAATTTAACTGACGCAAGACAAGAAATATAATTATTACATTAGTGCTCTGTAGGTCTTATATCCACTTTAGATGAAAATTCGAATATGAGTTAGTTAAGCTTGGTGTCGCCATATAGCGGCAAGTAAAGAACACATGTTATACATTTTCGCCATATTAAAATGTTGCTGCAATATTGCCAAAGTAATATTACAAAATGTCTCTGCAATATTTCTGCAGCATTACACTGCTATGTGTAATGTTGATGCAAGTTTCCCAAATAGCACAAAAAGGCCAAAAAATGTCTTAAAGACGTCCAGAGGACTTTAAGACGTCTTTAAGTCGTCTTTTAGATGTCTTTTGGACATGTGTGTTGTCTGGGTTCTGTACTGTATGGGTATAGCGTTGTAAATAATCAATAATATTTTACTGAAATAATTAGTAATATTGACTATTTTAATCAGTAATATTGACTATTTTAATATTTTAATATTAGATCATAATTTATCTACTTCGTGCAAAATTAAAAATTTTATTTATATTTACATGCATATATTGAATGCATCTTAAATAGATGATGATTTATTTTACACCTTAAATAGATCATGAACGGACCATTTTCGTTTATTCGTTTATTTAAACGAACGAATTAGCAATTACTGACTACAATAAAATTTTATTTCCACTGACTATAATGCGTGAGAAATCAGATAAAAGAAACAAAAAAATATACGTTTCTATGCAAAAGAAATTAATGAAATACTCACTGATTCTTAATGATTCTTAGTGATTTTATTCATATATTTGTAAATAGAAATATATATATATGTATATATATGTTAAAAATATTTAATAAAATTAAATAAAAAATAAAATAATTTAATTCATAATATTCAAAATTTTATTTATATGAAAATCATAATCTATTTTATACCTGAAATAAACAAATAATTTATAACTTTTTGGAATCTGTCTAATTTCTGAAGAATCAGTTCAATTTTCATATCAAATTTCTGTGTTGGAATTGTATTAAAAATTAAGCTGATAGGAATAATTACATATTTATTTTTAATTTTTTGCTAATTGCTCTTTATATAATTCTCATGAAAAAAGTAAATAGAAAATAAATAACACGCGCGTCACATAAGCGAATGAATTAGCGATTCTGAATAATGTTTTTTGTAATGTTTTTAGAATATTTAATTAGAGATATTACAGTATGTTCTCCTATAATTTGCATGATTTTAATATTGCTGCAACATAACGAAAATGTTCTGTGCTCTTTTTTTATAATAATATATGTACAATAAAAATGTGGTTAAAAAAATAAGTAGATTTTAAAAGACCCCATACATTTTATGAAAAAGTGATTTGAAATTGACTGAAATTGATATGTTGTAGTTTAGATAGTGCTGCTTAAAAGTTTCCTCGGGCAAGAGTCAAAAGTATGAAAGATATGATGATATGATGATTTGAAGTGAATGGTATTGAAGTTTAAGAAACACCTGTTTTTGAATACACAGAGTAATTAATATATATGTTTGAAAAAATATAATGTATGCCACTTCTATAGTATTTAATGACTTGAAACTCTCTTTACATCGTTTTTTACATTATATCTTTTATACTTTTGATTTTGGAACTTTTGTCTGAGAAAATTTTTGATCAGCATCATTTAAACTAAACTAATCATCTAAACTAAATTATTTCAATTAAACGTATCATTTAAAGGTGACTAGATTGTTTCAATTTTAACGAATTTGAAGAGGTCACTTTTCATAAGATGTGCGGGGTCTTTTATTAATGTGTTTTGAAGATATTAATATTGTAATATTTTACAGGAATTGCATCGATATTCCTATTTTTGACTATTTCAAGAACCATTGCACAAGAATGCGGAGATGAAAATGCACAATGTTCGACGCCATCAGATTTTGATCAAGATATCAATTGGCAATTAGCTACCTCGGTGTATGACTTTCATGCAAATGATATCACGGGCAAGAACATCTCGTTGGAAAAATATCGTAATCATGTACTCATTATTGTTAATGTTGCTAGCAATTGTGGCTTAACAGATATTAATTATAAACAGCTTCAGAAGCTATATAATAAATACAGCGAGAAGGAAGGCTTACGAATTCTTGCCTTTCCTTCTAATCAATTTGGTGGCCAGGAACCCGGTACTTCTGAAGAAATTCTTAACTTTATAAAACAATATAATGTAACTTTTGACATATTCGATAAAGTTGATGTAAATGGAGATAATGCCCATCCATTGTGGAAGTGGCTAAAAATACAAAAAAGTGGATTTATTACTAATGATATTAAATGGAATTTTACCAAATTTATCATAGATAAAAAAGGCAAAGTGGTGGAAAGATTCTCTCCATCCACTGAACCATTGGAAATGGAAGAAACTCTGAAAAAGTATTTTTAAGTTTTTATACACATAACGTTCTCTCTCTCTTACTCCTTAGTATATGGTTTGTATGTATGCGTGTGTAAGCATTTAAGGTATATAAACATACTCAGGGTGTCTCATTAAAATCATTAAAATAAATTAAGTAATTCTGAAAAAATTGAAAGAAAATTATTCATACAAAATTGTATAGCTTTGAGAATATGGTACATAGAATAAAGAGCGTCCAGTTTGACCATGTTGCGATTGATTTTAGCTAATTATCGACTTATACCTAAGATAATCAGCAACGACTAACCAATCAAAGAATTTTATTTTGAATTGGCCAATTGACGACGTAGGTCCATTGGGTGCCACTCAATGATGTATATAACTAGACCAAGCATTCATATAATTTGTAGGTAAGGGAGTGAAGTTGGATATTGACAGTTTAAGACAGAGAGAGAACGTTGAATGGCCTTTATGCTTTCTCTTTCTATAGATTGTCAAGTTATTAAAAGCAATATGGCGTGATATGCCATCTGGACGCAAACATTTAGTTTTAAACAGTATATATGAGGACGTAATATATATATATATATATATATATATATATATATATATATATACTCCAATAGCCAAGTCTGCTAAAGCAGATCTTGTCAGGGAATCTGTTACAAATTGTTGTCGACAGAAAGATTACAGAATCGATGCAAGTTCTGATATATCATGTGATGTCGGCAGAATGCCAACAGAAATATAACAAAGCTTGTTAACATAATCAGTTACCAGATTGGCAGCAAAAATCGAACAGATTCTGCCGGCATAACTTAGTGGCAGATTGGTGGCAGAAATTGAACAGGATCTGTGCGATGCAATTTGACAACAGATTGTCGGCAAAAATCGAGCAGGATCTGCGCATACAATCTCTGATAGCAGATTGATGGCAGAAACGGAACAGGGTTTGCATGATTCGATAATTCCTTCACTTACCGCTACGCGAGCTGTACTTTCTCGTAATTGAATTTCTGTCAGAAATATATATAAAGTCGCGAATATGAATAAAAGACTAAAAATGTAGTAATTATTTCTATCACTTTAATTTCTGATATCTGATACAAGCAAATGAGAGTCAGAATATTAAACTGATTAAAATCAATATGATAAATGAAAAATTATTCATGTACTGCCTATTTGAGGCATAAAGCAAGAATTTAATTCTAAATATAATAAATTAGTCTCAAGTCAACTCATCTCAAGTTTTACAAGTTACATTTACTTTTATCATTTACTTTATTATTAATTTAATTAAATTGAATTAGTCCTTCGCTATATGAGATATATCTATGATATAACATATTACATATATGTCATTCTAAGAAAATTCTAATTAACTTGCCAATAATATTGTTATTTAGCACCTGTCAATAATCAATTGTGTTGCATTTATATAATATTAATAAAAATAAGCGCAAATCTTGTGCAGTTTCTGCTGTCAATTTGCCATCAGGTTGCATGCGCAGATTCTGCTCGGTTTCTGCTGACAATCTAACATCAAATTGCATGCGCAGATCCTGCTCGATTTCTGCTTTCAATCTGCTGTCAGTTTATGTTGACAGATTCTGCTAGCAGAACCCAAGCTTAATGCGGACGCAGTTGATGCCAATCTGCCGCAATATTCTGTTTGAATCTGCTCGCATGCTGCTGGCAGACTGCTAACATTTTGCTTACTGGGTAATATTAAGAGTATAACTAACAATAAGTTCCCGCCACTCATAATTAAATGGCTCCAGCTGCAAATGTAGTAAAGTTAGGCATTTGTCAATAAAATTAAGTGAGCAAAGATTCATTTTTTGCGAAAGAAATATTTTTTGAATCGATTTAAAAAGAAACGTGATAAGATGTTTTTTTAGACATGTACTTCTTCACTACTTTGATTTAAATAAAACTGCAGCTGAAGCTCGCCGACTGATTTCTGAAACAGTCACGGCTGACCGCTACCAACAATAATTATGCCGATTGAATGATGAATTGATGCGAAAAAGGCCAGTAATCAACGTAAAGTGATTCTTTTGCATGATAATGCGCGACCTCATGTGTAAGAATCAAAGAAACACTATTGGAGCTCGAATGCGAAGTTCTCCCGCACTCGTCTATTCTTCAGACTTGGCCCCATCAGATTATCACCTTTTTTATCAATGCAACACGTGTCGATATACACTTCTCCAATTACAAAAAAGTCCAAAAATGCATCTACCAATGGATTGCTTCAAAAAACAAATCGTTCTATGGTCGCGGAATTCAACTTTTGCAAAAAAGATGGGAAAAAGTCATAGAAAACAATGAATTATATTTTGATTAATATATAAATTCATTTTCTTATTTAAAGAAATGCATTTTTGAAATAAAAAAAGTAATAAAAACGGCAGGAACTTAATTATACATCTAATACACACACACACACACACACACACACACACACACACACACACACACACACACACACATACATATATATAGACAGAGAGAGAGAGAAATATTGCAAAGACCATAGCGAAGAAAAAAATGGCTAAAAAGAAAAAAATTCTTTAGGAAGCAAATTTAAGAAAAACTATATATGAAGTAAATATATATATTAATATTAACCATAAATATTAATCAGCAAGATATATGATATATGATCCCTAGTAGTATAAAACATTGGCAAAATATTGGTATACCTTGGCTCAATATTGGTTATATTGGAAATGTTTTGGCCAATATTTCCCAATGTAAAACTAATATTGGTTGTTAACAAAATGCAAGTGTTCTGCCAATATTGCAGTGCCTATGATGATCAATATTGACTACTAAATATCTATAAATGTGTTGCTAATATGGTTGCATCGATTATAATACCAATATTGGTTATGAAGTAAATGTAAATGTATGCCAATATTGCACGTTCACACATTATATATGAACTTCGTGCGTCGCCACTAGGTGGCGAAAAGAAAAACACCTAACCCGAGAATGGGACTCCATCTAACGCAGAATATAAGGCCGCGGCACAGGTCCTACGAGTCACAACTTATCAGTCAAAGAGTGCGGACTATTATAGCCGCACCTCTTCTAGCTTTGTGAGGAGCTCTAGAGCTCCATAAATTAACCACGGTTATTTTTTTTGATGGTGAATTCCGTCATATAATATTAGAAACTGATCTATATCCAATGTAAAAATATTTGGATATGTATAATTAGCCAATCTTGGTTAAAGATGAAAATAATATATTCCAATATTACAATTCAATATTGGTTCAAAATGAAATCGTGTCTACTTTGCAATAGTGGACCAACATGAGAAATATTAAATATATATTGTTAGCCAATATTGCTACTAGAGATACATTTATATAAAATATTAAGCAAAATAAATATAACGATATTTGTACTATAATCATGTGTATAATGCATAAAATAATATTAATATCAATTACAGAATTTTCAAGACAAATTGATATTTATATGATTCCACTTTTATTTATGTACCATCTTTTATATATATATATATATATATATATATATATATATATATAGCTTTTGATAATTTTAGGCCATTTGCTTCTTGTAAGATAGAAAAGAAAAGCATAGATGCCATTCAACGTTATCACTTTGCCAATTTCTTAAACTGCCAATTTCTGACTTCACTTTCTTCTGTAAATGTTTGGTCTAATTATATACGTCATTGGGTGCCATCCTATAGAATAATATTTGCATAATTTTAATTGGTTTGTTGATCAAAATCGTATTAAAAATATTACTTGAAATTTTTTAAATGAGACCTCTCATACATATTTTTATAAGAAACTTATATGCAGCAATATTATATTGCAATAACTTTCTATTATAGTATTGTTACAGTAATATCATATAATAATAAATGTTTAGTGAGAAATAAGGTTGAAATGACGATTATTAGAGATCTGTTCTAATAATTATGGTTAAAAAAAATTATTAGATTGTAAAGAAAATAATACAGATTTTTTCCTGAAAAATATATGTATTAAAAAAATGATTACAATATTTTTTTAAAATTAAAATAAATGTTTTTCAAGCAGAAGTTGAATTGTATTGAAAAAAGTTGGTTCTTTGATTTAAAAAAATTCTTCAATCACGTGTTTACGATGATTACAGCGGTATGAGGTCAGGCGTTATTTTTACAAAAGGAGTCTAGCCTTAAATCGATTTGTAGACTATAACGACTGTATCGAGTAATGTCTCGTTAGTAACTGATGTTGATACTAAATGTTGTACTAAATCTTCTTACAACGCCTTTAAATCTTTTGTTTTCATCTCCATGAGTCATCCAAAAGACGCGGTTTGTCTTCGAGGTTAAAAAATTTTCACTTTTGAAGCATCTAAATCATCTTTCATATCAGTTGATGTATAGCATTCTCTCCATATGCCTTACAAATTAATCATCTGATTTTAATAACATTTTTTCAAATTGAAAAATATAATCAAACAATCCCATACAGCACACAAAGATTGCATACACATTGCAACGTTGCAAATTTACTGCAAAATGTTGCTGCATCATTGTTGTGGGATTGCAGCAATGTTAAAATGTCCGCTTTTAGGAATATTGCAATATAAGGTTGTAGCAATGTTACGGTGCAACGTATTTGTAATATTAAAACGCGTTTTGCTACAAATGCAGACACCGTTTTAAATTTAATAAATAAACTTTAAAAATATAAAAAAATGTTTAAGAAAGATAAGAAAAAATGATTTTAAAAAAACATCTACTAGTGTTTTTTATTAGATGTTTCTTAAATATTTATCTCAATAATATACATACAATTATTTTATATACATTCGATATCAGAATATTTTAATACGTGCAATAAATGAATTATTTCCTACTTACCCATTCAACTAAGAAAAATCTGTTTAATATTCTGAAACCCAATGAGGGATCCAAATTATTAAACAAATTATTTGTTTAATGATCTAGATCCTTCATTAGGATTTAGAATATTAAGTAAATCAAGTCAGTTTATCAGAAATTAAACTGACAAGAAATATAATTACTACATTAATCCTTTGTAGATTTTATATCCATCTTAGATAAATTCAAGTACGAGTTAGTTAAATTGAATGTCGCTGCATAGTGGCAAATAAAGAAACACAAGTTATACATTTTCGCTATATTAAAATGTTGCTACAATATTGCCAAAGTAATATTACAAAATAATGTCTCTGCATTATTTCTGCAAGATTACACTGCAGTGAGCAATATTGTAACATTGCAGCAGTGTTGATGCAAGCTTCTGTGCTGTATGGGAATGACGACGAATATGCCCCACACGGAACATGACATTCATTGGAGATCCATGTAACCTACATACCTCCGTGCGACCTCTACTTTCACAGTGGATGTTCAATGGATCTCTAATAGAAATCTATATTATCTCCACGGTAGATGTCGTTTGTAAATCCATCGTGGATGTCTATTAAACGTCGATTATGGATGTATGATAGACATGTACACATTTCTCTTAACATAAAGTAAAAATATAATTTCTAAGTATTATTTAAAATTCTCACCAAGTATTTTGAAAATATATTGAAAATTTGTTGTAATCTGTATTTTATTTTTAGCATTCTAAAAATTTTTACAAAAGATTTAAATTTTTAATAAATTCTAAATATCTCTATAATTAACAAAATTTTAATACTAAGAAGATTTTCTTTGATGATAAATTTTTTTACATATAATTTATAATATATGTTAATTATTATATTAGAAAATAGAAAACCTTTAATTTTTTAATTAAAACTAAAGATAGCTAAATTTATTATACATAATTGTATTTTGTAAAATTATGGTAGCTCCTGTTAATATAATTATTTTTAAAAAATAAATAAAATACAT